CTCATTCTTTCCATCTTTCGGATCTCTCATCCTTCCCGTGATCTGAGACGGTTGCTCGATGATGGTGTGCCTCTAATGAGGCGGGGGGGGGGGTGAAGATGTGCAATGATGGGTATCGTTTGAAGAATTGAATAACACTATCGGATGGAACATAGGGACCGGGAAATGTGACATTATACAATATCATTACAGTCTGGGAAAAAAGTTATTCTGATAATGCCATACAAGAAATCGAGGATCATCGACAAGTCAGCTTTGTGTTTATTGAAAGATTACAGTAATTACAGTAACATTACACAAGTCAGACGAAATATGTGTGCGTATGTCAAAAGCTCAATCAGCCTGATTGGTCGCAAGATTTCCAGATCCACTATTCATATTTTTCATCATACAGTAAAACGCCATGAGTTTTCCATTGCTCAATAGCTATCCATGATTGTTCACACCGCGATAGAGGCTTACTCATGCTGTAACCGCTCATTTGCGCGGCAATCGATTGTGCCGGCCGACATCGTCAACGTGCGAGTTCGGCCGCCCGGCAGCGCACATTTCTCTCCATCTATAATCTCTCTTAATTGGGTATCAGACGTCGAGAAACGCTGAGGATCATCGAATTTTCAGAATACTCGAAGGAAAATTAGATACTGATGGGTTAAAAAAATACAAAATTTTGATACTGCCTGTAGTGTGCTGAGATCAAAAATAATCTGTACCAGAAATAATCCTGAATTGCTCAAAAATCGATTGAGAAGAAATTTTGGAGAATTTTGCAGTTCTGATGGATTTACTTAGCTTGTCCAAACTGTCTTAACAATTAGTATCCTTTACTGTGATCTTTGAGGTTAACTGAGGTCATCTTCTGTTTGACTTCTTCAACTATCTTTTCCTATGGCTCGTCTCGAAGATTCTCGATGACCTCACATTCGCTGGAATCAAGGCGAGACAGAAAAGACCTTGGCAAAATTGAGATAGCATGATCATCAATGAGATTTTCTTGAAGGCATGGCGCTCTCGTATATCAATGGGTGTTTCTGCTCATATCAAATCAGATGGCCATGAACCGTCGAAAGAGCTCTTCTCGGCGTGAGATGCTCTGTGCCAGTTTCTGCGCAATTTTTCTCATTTTCTCTCGATTAACAAAATTCGCAGAATCAACCGAAATTTGAGATAAAAAATATCTTATTAAGATTTTAGGGGCGGGGCGAGCCAGGACAATGTGAAAACATGAAGATTCGAATAGTTCAACCGGGGGACCAACTGATGATTCTAACTATTGAATTCGAATATGTTTGACGGAGCGATTCCTTCATAATTTTAAAGCTTTTATGACTTGTCATTTGCACCTGCTCAAGAGAACATCTTTAAAGAAAAAAATAGAAACCTAATTATGGAGGGAAACCGTTTTTTCAACAATAGCAATCTCTTTCCAATGTTGTGGAAAATTACTTAAAACTTGTAAAATGTGATAAATTATAATAATGACATGGAATTTGACAGAAGTGAAATACTAATATTTGTCAATGGAATGAAAATTTCGTCGATCTGTTTCAGGAGTCATATTATGCAATTACTATAACAAAAATAACAATGAAAACTTCAGCAGGAACAACATTGAAATTTTTCAGAAACTGTGCTGAAAATAAGGAAAATCTATCAGTATACTTTCATGCAATCAGCAGGATTTCAGAGGTAATTATAATTAATTTCTCTTCGAGGGACAATAATCCATAAAACTAAACGTACGGTGAATTTTAAGAATTATCAATTTTTCTTAGCTTAGTTTTTTATAATGCTTGAAATCCTCGTAATTTCTTCGCTTAAAGCGCGGTCATCATTCAGTTACAATTCCATCTTGTACTACTTATTTTTTTTTAATTTCCCCAAGTACCCACATTACTACACTTATTTTTCTCAAAAATGTTGCTTTATATAACTTGTGTATATTTAACATTTTCATGGGGTTTCCATAGAAATTGATTAAACAATTATAAAGCAACTTGTCGTTGTCAACAGCTTTTTTTGTATTATCCCTAATGATGACAAATCGTTCTTGATAATTTAAAAATTTTTTTAAAAATAATTATCGGGAAATTCTGAGAAGCAATATCGCTTTCACATTGTAGCCACATAATAGTCTGTAGTTTCACAAAACGCTCCTTTAATTTTTTTGAAGACTACGGTAACTCACGTTAGGTCAGCTGACTGAATTCTATTCTAGTCTAACTCAAATGAAATCTCTTCAGAGAGCAAAGCACAATCTTGAATCCACTGAGAATTGCAAGAGTGTTGCAAACAAGCAAAAGGAAGAAGATCAATGGTCATTTTAAGAATCCGGACTATCCGGACCGGTCTGACTGTGAACCCTATGAAAAATTCTTAGAAGTTATATTTGAATAGGATTTGAAGAAAAAATAGCAAATATAAAGATGTGAAAAATTAAAATCACCAAAGAAGTATGGAAATGTACTTGGCGGAAAATTTCACTTAAGGACTTTAACTTTTTTTTACCTGACGTTTGACTCTTTTTTTTTCTTGAGGCAAAAAAAAATATGTGAAAAATGATTTTTTTTATAATTCTGAATACAAAAATATGCGGAAACACATTATTGTTTTAAACAGCATAATTTACATACCGTATGCTCATCAATTAACATAGGCGAATTAGAAACTCGTTTTATCGAGGAGAGAGAAAGGGAGATCAATTACCACCATAAAAGAAAATGAACTAACCTGATGTAAGCTTTTCCAGATGATGGCGGAGATACGCAATCCATAAACTTGCTAAAACAGCTAACGCCACAACTCATTCGCATATTTGATTCGTTGCTGAAAATGAGAGGATTATGGTAGGTGCCCATATAAGGCCCTCAATGAAACGTTGCGATTGGAAAAAAATTGGTGATTTTATTATTTGTCAACTCGATTATATTTGGTCCAGTGCGGCAACTCTCGATAAAAATTGGGAGGTCGTGGTTAGCTCCGAAAAAAATAAACGACTAGATTATTGAGAGAAGTGATTGATGTTCGATTTCAGTTTCGCAGAATATTAAACAGAAACGAGATTATGCACTCTTCAATTTCAATTTATTGCATGTCTGATGATTTGCCAAATTCGAATGTGAAATGTGACGGGAAAGGGCAAAGATTGATAAAATGTGACAAAGAATCTCTAAAAAAAGCCAATGCATATTTGAGAGATAATAATTTTGAAGTCGAATTTTATAATTGTACAAGGATATTTTTTTTGAAGAAACGTGAAACTTTAGAAAAGTAATGTTTTAAAACTTAAAAAAAATTAGGTTTTTAATTTTGAATTGTTTTTCGATTTTACAGGAAATTTTCAAGACACATTTATCTTTGTGGTTTTATGAAATGAAAAAATTGAATGTTTGGATGTTTCTCATTTTAATACTGATATTATTATGTAATTATTGTTTTTCGAGTTCAGTGAATTCAGGTTTACAAACGGCCAACTTTTTCCAATTTTCGTATATTTTAGAGTCTCGAATATTAAATTTTCCAAAATGCCAATCGTATGTAATGCAAATAGAATTTCATTGAATTTTTCTAAATCGCATTTTCTACGTTTCTCTTCATTTAATTCAGCATTTTTTTGAGTCAAACTATCCTACTTAGCTCTAATACTATTTGCTGATATTTTCAAATTCAAATTCTTAATTTTAGCGTCTCTTTTTTTCGTTTTGAGTTTCATCCCTCGAAATGCAAAGCATATAAAATAAATATAAATTTCATAACGGAGAGAGTATATTTCGAAAAAATGCAAACAAATGGAAAGAATGATATATCTTCACATTGGAATTGTAATAATGGAGTACGAATTGAGCAGATGATAAGAATTGAAGGAATAAATTATTAGACATCGAGAACCTTCCAGATTGCGATGAAAAATTTGATTGTATTGATATAACCATAACAATAGTGACAATACCATGCAATGTGTCATTTTTGAAATGAAAAAATGGAAAATTTGGTTTTCTCATGGTCGCTTTGGATTTTCTCATTGCTTTTGAATGTCTAATATAAAAACAATCAGAAATACTTGTGAAGAATTGCAAAAAAAAAAAGTGATGAAGCTATTTTAGGATAAATTTTCAGCTCAATTTCGGAAATTTGTTAATGATTACAAGTTTGTTGTAATAGAAAAAAGTATACAAGATAGTAATATTTTTTGTTTTATTTGGTTATCGTTGAAAAGGGATTTTAAATACAAACTTTTAGACTTCAATTTGGTATTGTCCAGCCGAAATTCTAGATCCAAGATCTTTGCAAACGACCCAATCCTCTTGTGTACACCACTACGAATTTTTTCCCGTTATCTCAGTTCCCATTACGAAAAAGTTGGATGTGCAGAACCTTAATGAACATCTATAAATCTTTTCACAAATGAGAACAGCTGCCGACCAGTTGGGGAAAACGAAGAAAATTAAATTTATTCCATTTAGAAACGAAGAAAAAAGGGTCTCCGCAAAAATTGATTGCAACGTTTTTTGGGTGGGTGCTAGATAAACATTATTGCAAGGAAATGTTACAGAAATATGATATGGCTATTGACATTAAAAATATATAGGAATGTTCTTTTGGTATGCGTTTTGTGCTAATTTGCGAGGGGGGAAGGTGAGACGATGCAAAAAAAAACCACTTTTGTGTAACATCGACGTTGAAAACGTTCACGAAAATAGAGAACATCCAAAAAAAAACTATTATCGGAAAAGAAAAGAGGATTAAAATTTAAGTAGAAAATATTTTGAATTCCTTAACAGCTGATTCAGAACCATACGAATTGCTTCGGGAATAATTATTGGAAAACAAAATACATTTCGACACGTTTTCCGCTATTTTGAATTTTTCTGGATTAATTTTCGAAAAATTCTCTCCAAAATCTAATTTTGATGACTCTGTCTCTGCTCATTTAGGCAAACTGTTTTTCGGAATATGCACAACAATAAAATCCTACAAAGCTTTATTCGTTAACCACAGAATCAATTATAGCCTTGCGCAATAATTTTAATCAAAATATGAGTTCCAAGAATGAAAATGCAAAAGAAAAGAATGATATCAACAAGAAAATATTGAATGTTGAACATGGTGTTGGCGGTCAAGTCGTAGATTTCATGCAAATCGTAGCGAATGGTGAAATTAATCCATTTCGTGACGCGCTCCTCGCCAATGAATGGTCTCGTGGTGATCATTTTTGCAATACGCTTTGCTACTTTGACGTATTGCTCCTTGTCCAATAGAAGCTTCATCTTGCTAAGGAATGTCGTCTCTTCAATATCCTCGCGTCGAATCATCTTGAATAGTATTGGGTTGTGCAGAGGATCTTTGATAGAAAATGAGGGCGACTTACCAAGCCGTTACCACGCCTCTCAACGTTTTTGCCGTTTCGAAACTGATCGGTAAACACCGGCATTACGAGCATCGGCACTCCGCCCGTCGCACCTTCGAGCACGCTGTTCATCCCGCCATGTGTAACAAATAATCGTAAATTGGGGTGCTCTGAATCGTTTATGCTATTACACACCGCAGTCAATAAAAAAACAACGAACTCAAAACGTCGTTTTGCGGTACCCAGTGAAGCAAGTCGACGTTGGTCACATTTTGGAACAGTTGGGCCGTCGTGGTGTCAGCTGCAAAAAAACCCCCCATTAAGTCAGGAGAAAGCGAAGCGCCAGAAAAGTTTAAAGAAAAATTTGTTTGAAAATTACTCGTTGGAATTTTGATAATGAAATGATAGTCGGGAAGTCCTTGAACTGCAGTTAGAATTGATCTCTTTATTCTAATGGGTAAGTAATCAAACGGAGCGACAGTTCCGAACGAAATATACACCGATCCAAGGGCTCCTTTGTTGAAAATCTCATCAATTTTTGACTGAAATTACACTCGTTTTCATTTTTCAAATATGTCCATTTTACGTCAACACTCCCATTTCCGTGTCCTAGCGATCCAATGTACACGACTTTTGGTGAAATTGGTCTTGGTAGATCAAACATTTCATTAGTATTCACCAATACTATTGAACAATTTCTCATTAGGTCAATCGTTGAAGGAAAATTTGGATCAACTTTTTCGCGAAATATCTGAAATTTTCATCACTATTTCCATGCATTCTCATAGTTTATTTGAATGACCTCAACGATCCATTTATTAACTATATAATGCAACACAATTGATTGGAATCGCTTGTACGAATTAGTAAGTCGTTGCCAGAAGCTCATTCTATCATCCAGCGCGTTCTCTTCAATAGACGGCACATATGACGGAGGGTTGTGAATGCCTGAATAGCGTCCAATTAGCGCGAAGCTCAATCAACGTCGTCGGCGTTACCCAAATCCCAAACAATCTTATCCATTAGGGGCTCGGACGACAATAGAGCGTATTTGCGGATGCCAAGGGACCTGTAAGCTAGATTACATATCATTTCCATTACGCGGAAGGATATGTGATCTAACTCACCTAACTATTGCGATATCGCAGTAATCCACATCCTTGATGATGGCCAGATCGAAATTATAGTCCGTGATGTGCTTCATTCTTGGCAGCATGTCGACCATTGCTATAAAAAGTTGAAATTAACACATTGCTTATAGATTTGTAAGGCACTCACTTTTGCACATTGGTATCCACCATATATACTCCATATTCATCCGACCGAAGAATCCAACATCATTGGTATTTTCTAACCAATCTTGCCATGTTTCTCCAAGTGTCTCAAAGAAATTGCCTAAAATTTTAACCAATAAATGGAGGCTCAAAAATAAAACGCTCGACATACTAATATTTTTGAGTCTCCAGACTTTCGCTTGTTTTGCGCCATCGAATGTATCGAGCGATGGAATATAGGAAGGTATGAATAGGACCTGAATACACTGAGTAGAACGTTTGAATGTTTGGCAGTTTTGACGCGAAAGAGCCACCGCTTATTCAATTTGAGAAGATGGGAAAATGCTGCGCACGCGTATGCAATGGCCTAGGCGAATGAGTGAACTGAGACGGCGGCCGACAGCGTGCAGGGAGGCGGAGGGTTGGAAAGCCCCGTCGTCGTCGCCGTCTGCCGCCGGCAGATGTTGTGAAACCGTTAAACACTCGATGATGGACAATTGGCATTTGTGCGAGTCCCAGGGACAACGAGATTGTTGGAGGGTTATTGAGTGGTGGAAATCGCGCATTATCTGTATATAGAGATCGCAACCCTGTGTGTTCACGCCCCGCCGGGTTGAATCCTCACCATTTTCCGGACGACGGATATGGAAACCCCAGCCCTCGGGGGGCGTAAAACTAAAGAAAAGTATAGAAGAGCCATATACTCGTCAAACTGCGCTGGCGAAAGTATGAACTACTAGTCAGCAGAAAAGGCGGCGGCCTTGCGCAAACTAGAAACCACGCCCACCAATTTTGGCCGTGAAAAAGAAGAAAAAAAATGAGTTTCAGCAATAGTGAGAGAAAAGAGACACAGCGAATTCTCTCCCTTTCCTCCAGAATTTACATATATAGAAAAAAAATGCCTAACCGTATCGTGTCCGTCATTGTGCAGCACGTCAGCATATTTGCCGCATAATAATACATGACTCTGGCTGATTGATGGGCAATAGATGAGAATTTTTGCGCAGTAGCACACGTTCAGGAATATGGCAAGCAACACCACCAATCGATGCATTGTTCATTCAAATGCACAGATCGGCGGGTCCTTCTGATAAGAATGGCACAAGTTTGATGATAATGGGCGGCATCAATAGAGTAATGCGAACGCTCGTATCAATCAAAAATAATGTGATGTTTACATACATATACAATAAAGATGACGATCTAGTATTTTTCCCCAAAAGAAACGCCGTCGAGAACAATTCAAGAATATGTAAAGTCGTGTTTAAAACTGTAAAATCGTTTATGGTCTCCTTCAGTTTCACAAACATCTGGTGCAATAAACTAGTCGTACCATCTGCTAAGCTCAGCTGGACGAAACGAAAATATATAGGGCTACTGAGCACCTGCTCAACATTACAAACACACATACATCAAATGACAGCAAGAAATTTAGCAATTACCGACTGTTGCGTCAGAAATAATCATCTGGATTAAAAGACAGACGGCATAATTCCGATAAGTTTTGTGTAAGCAATCATTTAAATAATGGAGCATCTGTTTCGCCTTGTGACCTCTTATAGAAATGCCACAAATAATTTATTCAAATTTGGTGATTCACTGACTATTTTAATCCAGAGACCAACGTGACCAAATTTTCTCTTGCAAATCTCTCTATAAAAATTCCAAATTCACACAGCGGCTTTCAATTCTTATTTGAGCATCATTCAGAGAATTTAGGCTTTTGAAAGCAGAAATCGCGACATTATTGCTATTTTATTCATGCCGCAGCTCATTCATATTCATCATGCGCGGCGCATTCTTTATTGCGCTCATTGTGTGTGCGTGTGCTCAGCGCGCAACGTTTCAAAACACTCGACGTCGTAAATCCATGTTGCGGGTCGGCGAGAGCGAGAGGCAAGCACAAAGCCGAGAGTCATCTATTAATCATTCATACGCGCGCATTTGTATCCAAGGCAAAAATTTATTCTCAAAGTCGGCACGACGACGACTAACCGAATCGTGGCGTCTCCTCAATTTTCCCTTGAAAAGAGAAGGTCCATTAATTGTCGGAAGAAGGGGGGGGGGGCTCTAAACGACGTGCCATCCTGTGCACTGGCACAAGGGCGCGGCGGCCCTTTCCGAATGCTGTCGTTGACGCCGACGGCTTTGCATACGAAACGAGGCGAAAGTGCACTTTCTTGGCGGAAATGCGACTAAAAGTGCAGACGGAAATGTTGATTAGAAATACATGATCTAGAGATTATGAGGTCAATAAAGCAATACTTCAAAATGTATGTCGGCACTAAGATTGTGAAATTGTAGGCAATAAGTCACACAAAATATATCGAATGTAATATTTGAGTTCTTATCAACTGCTGATAACTGCCCAATAATTTTATACCTTTACGATGCATTAGAATGTCCAATATGATCGAATTGATTTCATACTTTGTAGCCTCAAAAACCAGGCATGGCTTACTCATTTTTTATTATTGCTCAAATCTTGATCCATTAATCCATCTTTCAATTTTTATAGCTTTCATATTCAGCAAATTTATGCGCTGGCAATAACATTCACGTTCCGTCCACGTCACTATTTTCTCGTCAAACGCGATTCAAAATTTATGTATATTCCAAAAGAACATTTTTTTAAATATTTCGAAACGTGTTCGCATGTCTGTTTATGTCATGCGAGTTCTCTCAATTCAATTTTCGAACGATGGAAAACGAATGATAAAATGAGGGAGAAAAAAAGTGAAATGCATTATCCGAGTACACCATCCCTCTTCCTGAACATTTCAAAAAGGTAATTCGATTTATTAGTAACCGCGTCGGCAATCGAATCTGCAATTTCGGTTTTGTGTAGCAACGTTGCACAAGTTTCGTTTATCGGGGGCAATAAATTAAACATGAGAAATGTAACAATTGAATTCCTAGAAAAGAAGAAGAAGAAAGAAAAAACCATAGGTTCTGAACTCGTAGAGATCAAAAAAATAGTGCAAACAATAAGGGTTTGGACGGGTCTACTTGAGCGTTCATTTTTGGTGTCTGTTGCGTTTTTCGAAAGACAAGAATACTGAAAATTTGAAAGGCGGACAAAAAATGAATGACTGTGTTGACACTGGGCGTAACATTCCGAATATTTTAAAACTAGTTGTCTAGAATAAATTACAAACATAATAAATAAAGCAAGATTTAAAAGGAAAAACAATTTTTTGTATGTACATAAATTACTCGCTGTCTATAAAGTAGCCATCGGCGAGAATCGAAGAGCTAATAAATGTGGAGCACAGGGAATGATCTGATTTGCATTCCATAAGTTCTGACGAGCGGCCAAAACAGGGCTGACCTCCGCCAGAAACAGGAGGACTCACACAAGCACGAATTCTGAAAATCATTAATCGTTTCCGTTTATTCATAGCGATATTACCTAGTTCGAGTACCAACACCACAGTTACCCATACAATTAGACCATTCGTTCCAAGCCGACCATTCACCATCGCTTTCTAAACGTTTATTCTTTTGTTTCTTTTAAAATGAGTTCCATGTCTCTTTCTATAGGTGTCTTTGAATTTTTTTTGGGTATACTGTAGTAAATTGCTATCTCGCCTTATGGACAGGAAACCGGAAGATATTTTATTTCCGGCAATTCATGCTCTTACTCATTCTGCTTTAAAGAAAAGAAAAAAAGTACATGCCGGATAGAGTTCAAAATAGGAAGAAGCATTCCGCAAAATAAATGATGCATGCAAGCCATTACCATAGTCGCATTCCGGTAGATCACACAATGTTGTTTGATGTGCCAATCCTTCGCAAACTTTTCCGCCCTTGGGTGCCGGCTCGCTGCAACTACGCTCGCGATGCTGAACGCCAAATCCGCATGAAGCAGTGCATGATGTCCATTCCGACCAGCTCGACCAGCCGCCATCGCGAGCTGAAATTTTGGGGGGTGCCGCTGGGGGAAAAATGACAAAATACGAAATTATTGGGATAGCGAAAGTGCAAAAATTGGAAAAAAACAACAACAACAAAGGTTCAAGCTCGTGCCAACATAACAAATACATATTTTCTGATGTTTACTTACAGTGGCATTTTTCTTGATCAAAACATGGTTGGAGTTCAAAGTCTGAGCCGGTGCAAGCCTTGCCGCCTTGGGATGGTCTTGGGTTAGCGCAAAATCTGCATCGATAAGATACTCTTTTTAAACTTATTTGACTCTATTGTACCGTGTTCTACTGCGATGGCCATTACGACAATAGTCGCTACATTCGCTCCATGCCGTCCATTCTGTCCATCCACCATCGACCTTATCAGTGCACACACTATCAACAATACATGGACGTTGATCAAATGAATATCCCGAGCAATATGCACCGCGATTCGAAGGGATTGGCTCGCTACACATTCGATTTCTTATTTGGTGGCCGTTATCACCGCAGTCTTTTGAGCATGTTGACCATTCCGACCATGATGACCATCCACCAGCCGATGGAACGCAAGACTATAAAGGCATGTCTTGATTTTCATAATTATCTTGTAATCATACCGCTGGAACGCATGGAATTTGCTCTAGAATTGGTCCTGAGCAGAATCCTTGAATCGCGGGGTCAGACACTTGACAGAATCTACGGCGAGTTGAAGTTAAAGAGAAGCATGAGCAAGCACTCCACGATGACCAGTCGGACCAAGTTGGAGCTAAAAAATTAACCTTTTTGTTAATTAAATTTTTATTATATTTTCTACCATCAAGAGAATTCATTGACGATACCGAATCGCATAATGGAAGATTTTTGCATTTCCTGCTTTCCGCGTAACTTGAACACTGAAAATTAGAAAAAAATCAACTTCAAAAAAGAAACAAGTTTTTTTTACCTCTCCTCCATTGAAAAGACAAAGCTTCTGTCTAGTTTGCACAGAGTCTTCGCCACACGACTTAGAGCATGGGCTCCAATCACTCCAGACAAATAATTCTGCAATGAAAATAACTTTGAATCGAACTTCTTGAGAATTAAATAATACCCAGGCAAGAACTCAGATTACATTCTTTTCGTTCAATTTGCTCTCCGCGTTTTCTTGTTGTAAATCCTGATCCGCAAGTAACACTGCATGAACTCCATTCCGACCATCCTTCCAAAGTTAATGTCGGTTTACCAAATGCCTAGACATTCTCCATATTACAGCATTTTTTCGAATTTCGCTCACTTTTCTTAAATCATTTGTAGTTACCAATTTCGGTTTTATGGACCCAAAAGTGTTTTTCTCTCGGAGACAAACAGTATCGCAAAATTCCTCCTCAGATTTGTCTGAAATTCGAAAAATTGCATTATTGAAACTCTTCGGTCTTACCTTTACAAGAAGGATCTGAATTACCGTCACATCTTGCGAATCGTTTTCTTGAATCGAATGATGAGCAAGATTCGCATGCTGACCATTCAGTCCACTCTAAAAAAGAATCAGCACATGGCCCATTGACACAACGCCGGGTCTGAGAAGATTCGGATTCAGAGCAATTCCCTAAATTATCCAATTCTGATGAAGAACATTATGAAGTATAATCACCTCTTCTACACGATCTCTCTCTAGTTTGAGTTCCTTCTCCACAAGATGCTGAGCATGTGGACCATTCACCCCACTGACCCCAAACAGAAATTGCCGATAGCGATGGGCATTGCTAAAAATGATTAAATATTTCCTGTCTTGCTATCAGTTCTCACTTGTCGATTACACGTTCTTGCTTGCTTATTCGCCGTTGGGCATAATTGACCATCGCATAATCTTGAATTTCAATCGTAATTCACTTATTTACGATGTTCATTCAATACCTTTCTCTAATTTGAAATCCGATACCGCATGAAACCGAGCATGGCAGCCAATCACCCCATGTTTGCGTAACGCATTTTTGAGTGTTGCATACATCTTTCTCCAAATCCTCTCCATCGCATTTGTCATCGAGACATTTCCTAAAGAAAAACGAAGGGAAAATGGAAGGGGTTCTTGCAATTTTAATGATTTACCGAATTCTGTATCTTCGCCCACCGTCGCAAGTTCTCGAGCAGGAGGACCATTCGTCCCAATTAGTCCAGCATCCTTCCTGAAAAAAAAACAAATATTTTGAAGTAAAATTATTAAAATCATTTTACATTGTCGCAGGGTCTTTTCTCGACAAGTTGATTAGACGGACAGTTTGTTGTCAGACATGGACGGAATCTTCGCTGAGTTCCAAGAGCACACTTAGCACTACATGGGCCCCATTCTTCCCAAGTTCCAAACTCTTGGCATTCTGGCAGAATCTCTTGGCATTTTCTCGTTTCCTCCGAGATTCCTTGACATTTTCTTTCAGAAGAACATCGACGCTTTCTAGTTTGTCTGCCGTCTGATCCGCATGTTGCGCTGCACTCAGACCAAGATGACCTGATAATAATATATTCGATGAGACGAATTGTCATAATTATACCATTCTTCCCATTGAACTGTGCTTCGTCCAACTAATCTTGGGCAATCATCTTCCTCGAGTACTAGAGCTTTGTCGTCACATGATAACGCCTAGAATATGTATTTGGCTAAAAATATTTTAATTGATTGATACCAAGCATTGTCCACCGACACAATACTGTCCCGCTCCACACGGTGTTCCATCCGGAAATTGTCCTTTATTTCTGATAAGTTCCGAGTCAATGAGATGACACCATACACGACATGGTTGAGTGGAATCTATAATCAGAGCGTTACGTGATTTCAGCGATAAATAAACGATACGCTCGAATCCTTCTCCAGTAAGCTGGTGATCTGGTTTGTTAGGATCATATTTGATCGATGTGCAGATCTTGTTGGCAAACTCCTCTCTTCCAAATCCTAGGCAATTGCTGCTCGTGGACCCGCAAACAATTCCTCGGATGTTTGACCCTTGACATGGGAGACCACCATTATTCGGGCTAAAATTTTAAAGAATGTTATGCGGTTCTAGACAAAATATAAATTACGCAGGGTTAACGCAATCCCGATTCTGAGCTTGGACAGTAATACTACCAGTAACTTGGCATTGCTGAATTGGGCAACCTTGTTGAGCGCCGCCCCATTCACTCCAGGCGCCATCAACAGGTCTTGGTGGTAATCCACCCATCCATGGTAAGCATTGTCCCTTGTGGCACCATTTGTTGTGACCACACCAACTTCCTTCCAAAGCCGGATGAGCAGTGGAAATGGTTGAGCCACTGTTACCGCACCAGAGAATGCGACAAATATCCTAAACGGGTGGTTCAGAATTTATGAGATTGTCGTTATGCTCTTACATCCATCACTCTTCCATTTGGAATCTCTACTTTGTAATCTCTGCCCCAGAAATAAGAGCACTGCTGATCCGCGGTAAACCTTTGTCCGGGAAGCCTAGTATCGCTAAGGTGATTAGTGGTGATTAAGCCTGGTGATGCGTCTCGTAGGCAATTTCCGCGACCAGACTCACTGAATTATAAATTATGTCGTGTGAATATGAAATTGATGAATTACTCAAGTTGAAGGAGAAATGCGTTGAACTCCCTAACAGAACATTCAGACCAAGTCGTTTTTCCTGCACCATTAACAGCTGACATTAAACAACAAGACCGGCTGCATTGATTTTGGACACCGTCGTGAACCATTCCCATACTAAAGTGGTGAGTTGTCAAAATAGGGTGGATAGTCGAAACTTACTTATGTCCCATCTCATGAGCAAGCACAAATGAGCGCCCAAGGTGAAGTCCTTCAACCAGAGAGCACGCAAAAAGTGGATCGCACATTCTCGCAACTGGGGCAACACCAGCCACCGAAGTTGTGGTATGATAAATATCGTATCTAAATTATGAATGAACATATTATTACGATAATATTTTATTTTGTGTACCCTGTGAGCAGAACACCATGATCCCAATGGTTCATGTCTGTGAGATCTGTTCCGGGATTCATATGCGCTTGATATCTGCAGAAAGCATCAAGGAGACTTTGCGCTTGTCCATTTTTATGAACTGATGTACTTAACGCACTCTGAATGCATGTTTTTCTTATTATCATCTCTCTCATTTAAGCCTACTGGCTGGGTTTTCCACATTTCATATCGGACAATCACAATGTCCAAATTTGGCGATAATGTATCTTGTTGGTAAAGAACATGAACATTATTAATAAGTGCTAAAGAAAATTCGAGAAGATGTTGCTCAGCGTCTTGAATGTACTCTCTAAATGTATACTTATTATTTTATAATACTATTCTTCGAAAAAACCGTTCGAAATGCTCAAAAAGCTTCGAATCCAAAAACAATCCAATCTCTAAAGTAATTGGATCCATATTGGGGAAAATGAATGGCGAGTCGAGTTGAGCTGACGATGGCACCGTATAGTTAAATTTGAGATGCGCTGGAATCGCTAAAACGTTTAGTTGATTGGTTCAGCAAAGCACAAATTAAAATTGCGAAAGCGATCTTTGTTTAGGATAAGCTTCAATACGTATTATCAAGTAAAGCATCTACATATGCCGAAAACCAAACAAATAGTAAAAATAGAACATGAATCTGCTTGAATCGCATCAAAACAGTTTGTTGGAACATTTTTCTAGAGATTTTTGTGTGCATAGTATTAACGTTTTTCATATTTAATATTATGAAATGTTCTCGTTAGTAAATTCCTAATAATGCAGAAAACCAAGCTTAGAATTATTGCTTTCAATCCATTTTCAACTCACTCGTCGCAGCGTCATCGATTGATTCGCTGGTATCACAAAACGAAGACTCTTGCGATTCCTCCTGCAGTTTCGCGATCTCCACCCTAATCCGACTTTCTGTTTCGGTGAGAAGCCCTGCAGCCCGTTTGTAAACCAGATGTTGCTCCCTCTATAAAAACGTGTTGCCCTTTTCATACAGGGATTTTTTTGCGGGGGATTAGAAAATGAAAAAGGCGATTAGCGGACCTGTAAGTGATGTACGCGCTTGGGAAGCGTTTGCAACACTAGAAAATGATCATCCATCACGATTGATCCCATTAATGCACCACAATCCGAAATTGCAGCCTTCATGTTGCCATGAGACTTGACCTCACCCTATATAATTGGAAATTGATTACTCATCAGAGTTTAAACCAAATAACGAACCTGATAGTGGCATTGTTCATAGTTCTTGAGGCCATCATACGTAGTGACGTTTTCGCCTTGTCGAATTACAGATATCTATAAAACGTGAGTCATTATTACAACAGTTTCTCTCAAAAAAAATAGTGAAAGCTTGGAAGTGAAAGTGTGCCGAAGGCAGAAGCGGAATAAAAAACTGATTAGCGTAAGGAACTGCGACTTACAATATGCGGGCTAACAATCCGGGAATTTTTTCTCAAGTGCAACCGATACGTATCATTGAACGCAACAAATTTCATTTTGAGAATCCCATTTTTGGTATTATAGCGGGTTGCCTTAATAAGGCTATACTCGGGAACCTAAAAAAATATCTTCATATAAAATGTACACCGAAGAAGCATACCTCGTGCTTGTTGGATACGCCAAAGACTTGCTTGAGTTCTTCCTCATTGAGATGATTGTGGATTGACTAAATAATATAGATCAGAAATCTACCTTCATAATGATTAATAGGAAACATAATCTATAAAACAAAAAATTCAAAATTATAATAAACAGGCAATTATTACTTATAATAATTTAAGTGTTCAAATTTCACATTAAGTATCTTAAATGATATTATAATCTCAATCAATAAATTATAAGAGAAATTTCCTTGATATTCTACTTTTTTATTGAAATAAATTACCAGATATCTAATTACTAAGATTATTATTAGAACTTGTCGATCATAAATTTAAACTGACTTTATTGGCTTGTTCACAATTTGAAAAAAAAATAGTCGATGACAGACGATTAAGTTTTTTTTCTCCGGTATCATTTATCCGAACCCTAGACCCTCATTATCCTTGATTAAATTCGTGATGGATTTGAAAGTGAAAATTGCGCAAACCTGCGTTGAACCGATAAGCGTTGAGAAGAATAATACGGCGGCAAATAATAGCGGTGGCATGTGCCGTTCGAAGCAGATCGCTCATATGCGGTGTGAGAATAATTACAACTTCAGTGTTAACTTCTTCAGCGTTTGCCTCCTCGTCGCCCCCTGGTCAATCGTCGTTGTCGTCTTTGCCGTCGCCGTTGTCGTCGTAGCCAGTTCGTCTTGCCAAAAGCAGTATCCTCTCTGCAATTCCTTGTTCCCTTAGATTTACTGTACAAATTCGAAAAATAAAACACAACGATATAGTTCAACGAATTTGGAGGGGATGGGGGGGGAGATATAGTGAAGGAAGGGAGAAAGCGCCGCCCAAACCAACACCAATTCATACTTGTAGCCGAACAACACCATTTCGTTTCGAGACACATTTACCACACACTTAACTTAATAACTGACTGAAATGCACGCGCAGTACTACTCACGAAACCAATACATACGTAACCGGTTCGGTTGCTACCCGGCCCACACACATACATACACACACCTCCGCTGAACACAATGAAGGTTTTGACTCTTGAAGTCGTTGAATATGAAAAGAGCAGCGTGATGGAGGAGCACAAACAGTATTGAATAGAGAAACAGAATAGTGGCAATGATCGATGAAGCTTTTACAACTTTTCTTATGGACGAGACGGCATTAAAAGAAACAAGTTTTTTCCTCGACTTTTTGTGTTGGAAGATGAAACTTCGGTAGCGAAAAAATAGAATTTTCTGTCGAGTAACTAAAATTTCGAAAGCAATCCTGATTTTCAGAAGGGAGTTCCAAAAAATCGCAAAATCTTTTCTTTTTTTTGAATCAAACATTTAAAAAATTAGAAATTGTTAGACGAAATTGTCTTTTAAACTGAAAAACAGACACGATAAACGCTAAGATGAAACGTTCAAAAATAGTGACGCCGTGGATATAGATAGTGATTTTCAAATTTCTGATGAATGCCACCTATCGTCCTTCTTTTTTTTCGCACAAAAAAATTCAGAGAGATATAATGCAACATTAATCCCACCCGATTCATCTTTTAAAAGGTGTTCCGTATGATTTTGCAATTCAATGGAAATATATAAGTGTCCTCTTCACATCACACATGTGATCGGCTATTCCGTTCGCTTCTACATCACAGAGAGACAAAAAAAAATCATTGGACGATGCGAGGAAACGGTGGGATTACGCAAGCATCAATCGTCAATTGTCCGTTCCGGAATCGAATCGGACGCGCCTCATTATTTCAATTTTGAATGGAAAATGCAGAAAAAAATATTGTCGAGTACGAAAATGGCTATGCAAACACACATAATGCCATTCGAAAAAATTGATCATGCTAAACGAGATAGGTATTGCGTCAATCGGCAAAATTCAGACATGTAAGCGATAGGTTGTTAATTGAAACCCTCGACCGGTTTCAGTTTGCTGTATATGTATGTGTGTGTGTTTATTGAAAATGATTCACCATGTCATTATGAGGAGGGAAAAGAAAATGATTGGTGAAAGGCGATGGGGCTTGATATCATTGATAATATCCATAGTCATTTCCCTCAATGTTTCACATCAGCCCACTTTCAATTTCATTCAACATGTGTAATGAAGGAAAAACAAGCAGAACTCTTTTTTTGGAGGGGTGCCGACGTCGGCGCAAAGATTTGTTACAAAGTTAGATAATCTCAGATAATATATATCACACCCTAAAATGCCTATGTTGCGACGATAAGGAACGTCTCATCAAACATTTCGGGTTTGAAATTGTAATAGTCGGAACACGATATACATCGAATATTTGAAAATATCGAATTTGAAAAGTTTAAACTATTAGTACCAGTCATCAAAGCTCAAAATTTACGCTCCCTCAATGAATGGGAAAAATCTCTACAAAATTCTAAACGTTTCCAGATTACAATAGAACCTGAAAAAAATTACAACCACGGCTAGAAATTTGAAACAAATTGTAGCTTAGTCATCCCGTAATACGGAATTACCATTTTGGCTTCTAGTTTTTCATACTAATCATGTTAACCTATCAATCCCACATTTGTTAAACAATACAAGCACGCAGCTATAGGTAATTAAATATTAAGGTGCACTCTTTTTCCTAGGGCAGTGTTGGTGTTATCACTATATCTAGAAAATAAGAGCTAGAAATGAAAACATGTGATTATTAAAAAAAATTAGAGCAATTTTTGCTAATCATATTTAATTAAAACACGGTACACAGAAGGTCGACAACATCGTGCAACTAATGGCTGGGATTACGTATGGGATTTCAAAATGCGTGTATGTTTGACCGAATTAAAATGTGAATAGCTGGTGTAGTCATGTCAATGTGGTGTCAGAAGAGGTATTCATGGCGTCGAGTATATTTTCTGGGCGCAAAGTGAAGATTAGCCGAAAACCCCCCGCGGGCTGGAACCGGCCGTGCCGAAATGCAAACGTTTCGACTTGGGAGGCGTTGAGTGACCAGTCCGGCACGCCAACCGAAAGTCTCTGTCTGTGTCGCGTTTCGATTGAGTTTTCTGGTTACTCGCTCGCCTTCACGGACAACGACGACGTCGGCGACAGGCGGCCGATTTTCAAAAATGAAAGCGCGACACAATTTTCACCAGGCGCTTCAATTCGCCGTATTCAAATTGAATGACATACAATAATAAATAAACCAAAAATGACTTCATTGACAGTTTTTTTTTCAAAATTCCATTCTTAAAATCTGTTTTTGAATGATTAGATGACAATATTTAAATAACATTCTATCAAGGAAGGACTATCTAATTTACAAAAAAGTACATTTCCAGAGATTTGAAGATTTTTACCCTCCTACATATTATCGCTATGTGAAATGCGATTAGTTTTCAGTAGATTTCTTTGCAAAACCATTTGTCATTTATGATTCGCTTCTTACTAATCCACTACACCTTTTCTTTATGATGAAGATGCGGCATTACCATCACGACGATTGCCTTCCATATTTCAAGAAGAAATTTTTTTTGATCCAAAAGAGAAATTTTTTCGTCGATTCACTCATTCTATCATTTTAAAGGTACATTAGTATATATAATTAATCGGTTGACATTAATGGATATATTATTATCCAACTTTACTATTAATTCCCCGCATTTCCATTCAATATGCACATAACAACTCAAAAAAAAAAAAAACAACCGCGATTCTGAAAATTATTTGCTTGTTTGTGTATTTTACACATGTTATTAAGAATGGTTCAAAATTCATAAGAACAGGTGCTATGAATAATCAGATGTTGTCTCATTTTGAACTTTGATTTCGCTTCGTTTCATAATTTATAGTTAGGTAATAATATAAGCCATTAAAAAGTGAAAGTTGCAAAAAAAAACATAGGATAAAAGCAAAAGTGGTATAGGGAAAGCGCATCAACCGGTCATATGCCCGTAAATGACCATTCCATGCCATCCGTTAATAAAGGAACAGGAAAAAAAAAGAACACGTAGAAAATTATTATATATATTCGGCATTTTGTTTGACCATACTCATGATCACGTCGTCATACTGTGGAAATAGTTTCTGGCGTAAAAGCACAATAGCGGAAAACCTATCCAAATCGAAAGCAAAAGTGGTGTTTTGGGGGTTTTTATTGTCCAAATTGTGCTGAATTGAACATTGTAAATAGTTCGTCAGCTTGTACGGTTTTTCTCCTTCCATATCTCCAGAAAATGTAACAGTACGATCGTTAAAAAAACACACACAACTACAACAAAAATGAGAAATACGTTGAGGCGAATGGCCGATTGAAGACCAAAAACTGTGTGAGAAGCAAATTGAAAAAAATTGACATCCCACCCAAAAATTGGATAAAGTCTCTAGATAGATTATTGGCTTGAATTAGTTTTTGCAACTAAGCGTTATAGCGGAACTTGACAGCTTTAGATTAAAATTTTATAGTCTTTTTTCAAAAATTACCCCCTTTAAAAACTCTTAAATGTCCATGAAACGTCTAAAAAATTCCATTGTAATATTGCACTTTGATACACTAACAAAATTTGCACGTTGTAGGATTCTAGCTTCTCATAAATAATCCGATTATTTATGAAAGCTTTCTGGAATTTGTTAAGACGATGTATTGGACACTCGCTTCTCACCACACTTGCTACTTCCAACTATTTCGCTAAAGCTCATCGTGTTTCGCTGATTAAATTTTATTTTTTATTTATTAGGATGAGAAAAATCTTCGAACGTGTCGATAATTCCTCCAATAAAGCTAATTTTATAATTAGTTTGTAGAAGCAAGCTAATGCCGTTGAGTACTCGGCTTATTTTATTTTTTGACAAAACATTTAGTTCCATGTTTTGCAATTTCCTATGATTGAAGGATTATTAGAAAATAGAAATGAAAAGTAGGTGTAAGTCTTTATAAAAAGAATTGAAATTTAATTTATTATCTAATTAAATGATTCTCATCAATATCTTTTTTTTATTCTTATTGTGCCTACATAATAGGAAACTGAGTAAGAAAATGATAACATTCAATGCATTTTTTTCGAATTCCGAGAATAAAGAAAAACAATTTTTGTTATAAGAATGCGTACTCAGCATAAATTTTATTAGCGTATGCCTCATTTCCGATACGATTAATGCAGAACACTTAGGCTTATCTTTCATTAATTCAAAATTCCTATTTGTGATATTCAGACCTTTGTTTCAAATCTGCTATCTCAATCATGGTATATTTTTTAGGTTCATTACAAAACTTATCTTATCAGCACGCGTTGTACTATTCAATTGATTAGAAATCGAAACATTTTGAGATTTTGGATTCAACACCGTTCTTTGATTCCCAATTTGCAGAGCACAAGCTTGTTAATGGCTATATATTTGCCATGCGTGCATGGAACCTGAATGTTCTGTGAGAAACCGGTTATTTTGCCAGCGTTTTCTGCCATTCTTATATATGAGAACATCCCTGTCATTCAAATACAAGCACTCGACATTTTAAACAAATGTGAACAAAGTTCAAAGAGATGCTTCTCAGTTTCACTACTGAATATCCGTTTTTTTCGTCATTTTTGAGGAGGAAGAAAAAACGCGAAATTTATTGCTGAACTCTCAGCGGCGAGCAAGACATTTCTTATGCGCTGCATACATTCTGTTCTTTGTTATCAATTGAAAGTCAATAGACAAATGGCATTCGTAAATGTGGGATCACTGTGATCAGATCAACTTGACCGCATTTCTAACGAACTCCTCTATACAGCAGCACCACGTATTGATTGTTTTGCACTCTCCGCTATCTTCGATATATTTCTCTCTGTTCGTCCTCCGCCAACACCTTGCTATTTGTTGTACTTTTTCGTTTCCGCGTCTGGCGTCGATGTGTTGCATTTTATTTAAGAAGTTGCAAATTAATATTTTGTGAAAGTAAAACAATTATTCGAATTCATTCAACTGTAAAAATTTTGTTTCATATGGGTTTTTTACTAGATTTTTTCATTTAATGAAAAAGCGTTCGTGCACGAGAAAATTTTCAAATTCCAATTATTTTCGTTGCTCTTTGGCAAACAAAAAAAAAATAAATGAAAACGAAAAAAAAAAATAGAAGGAAAGCGATAAAATATTCAGCAAGGAACAATGAGCATTGCACAAATTATTTGGGCATACAACATTAGTGAGGACTTCATTTCCACTCAATTATTTATAATAATTTCATTCCAATTTTTAGGTAGATAAAGCTTTCCGAAACGATCATCTTTAATTAAGTCAGTACTTCATTATTCTTTCATAACTATACTCATGCAAAATACTGAGTTCAATTTTATGCTTTTATGGTTTTTGATTCTTCAAGTTTCGTTGTTCTATGAAAATGTTTCAATCTACATATTGAATTTCAAAAATAGGACACGTTTGAAATGCTTAAAACATTGAATATTCAAAATTGTTGCAATGCATTGCCATCACCCCCCCCCCTCTCAACCCCCTATTTACTATCGAGAGAGGGTGTACACGCACATATGCTGGGTGCACGTAGCAGGGTCACCACTAATACTCAAATAATGTATTTTCGCATTTCTGAAATTGAATATCATTTATTTAAACAAAACTTCGAGAAAACAGGAAAAATGTATATTGTTTATCTACTCTTTTCTTTCATTTTTTCCTATTGAAATTAGAAAATGCATTCATTATTTTTGTCAATTTTATCGAATCAAATCTAGCACGATCTGAATCAATGTTACAGTAGACAAAAAATATCATGAATGATCATTTGACAAACTTTTCTGTTTTTTTTTTTTTGTCGTGACATTGTAAAAATAAATATGTTCTTTGGTTTTGCATAATCCATTTCAACCAACGATTAAAATGAAGACCTTGGTTTTCAAAATGTTTGCTGGTTCTTTGCAGTCTTGAGAATGGCTAATTCTTGTTCGCAGAGTTCACTTTCCTCTCATTCTATATTGTTTGATTTAATGCTTGTATCGCAATGAAATGGGCGCAGAAATCAAATGATCATTGAACTTTCTCTTTTTCCTGTGCCCAGATGAATCGAAGATCGTGCGTATTTCCATAATTCATGGTTCATCCTAATCTAAACAGCCGACATAATATCAGAAAATACGCAATAATCCTTGAAGTACATTTCTGCTTAATCATTAGCATTCATTTGAAAAAATTCTATCGATTATGTTTAAATATTCAATGATCATATTCGGACATATTTCCTTTTGTCAATAAGACTTGACTCAAAACATAAATCAAAGTAAATGAACCGGCAAACCTCGTGTGAACACAATATCGTTTTAAGAATTTATCAGGACGTAATTTTGAACTGAACTGTGATTCACTTTTTTATTTGGAATAAATTCCTAGCGCTTAATACATCAAATAATGTAAATAATTATTTACCCAACTCTTTTTTCACAATGATGTACTTTGGTTTACAAGAACATTGATCGTTATCTCTAATGCTTTCAAAACGCCACACGTTTTCTTTTTGCAACCCTATAATCTTCTCAAGTTCGGCACATGTCGAATTTCGCGCGATCTCCGATTTAGCATAACAAGTTGTATGAATCGGTACCTATTTATGAATCGGCATACGAGATTTGTCGGGCCACTACCGTTGCCGCTGCAATGAATGTCTATTGATCGCTATCTCACCATTGTTTTCAAATCACTTCTCTCAACGCTTTTTTATGTGGCACGTTAAAACGAGTTAATCGTGTTGCGGTTATTGTTGTGTTGTTATCATTTAAAAACCGTCGTTGATTTGGATTCATAGTTTTTCAATTTTTGAATTTTAGTTTTGTATTCTTCTAGATTTTCCGTCATTTAATTAAATACAATAGGTAATTTAGTCTTTATCAGTCTATGGCGAACAGAGGATATTTAAAAATTTGGCTTTTTGAACTTTTTTTTTAGAGACAACACTGTAGTTGTCAAAAAATTTGACGAATTTTGAAAATTTTACTATTTCGAAAATCACAAATTTTTTTTTTCAAATTTTCCAAACGCTGCTATCTATTTGCCCAAAATAGTTTGTTATCAATTTCATGTTGGGTAAAATTAGAGAACTTTTTGTTTACCTATCTATTAGCGAGTTATATGATATTATTGCAGTCTCTTGATTTATTTTGAAGTTCTTGCTTTGATGTCATACTAATATTGGTTCATATTGTTTTTGATATGCACGATTATTTCGTATTTACTGAAAATATTCAATTTTTTTTTCAGAATGGTCACCATTGGTGAGCCAATGTCTGCAACACCATACGAAAAAACACGTTGCAAACCTCTTATAAAGCCATTCGAAACAGGTATTTAAATGTTTTGCAATATCAGATGCTGATTAAATTTGACGTAAGAAGGTTAACGAATTATTTGAAATACTCCACAAACTTGTTGTTTCTCGAAAATTCCTTATACGTCATTATTTATATATCCAATAGTAGTATGAAATAACATTTTGAAAAATTCAAAATTGCAAAAAGCGCAAATCCTTGTTTTGCCAGCAATTCAGAAACTTCTTTATTTAAAATTATTGAATTTGGATGGTACTTCATAACAGCGCAGTAAAATTTTTTAAAAACTACATTGAATTTTTTTTTCACTGCATCGCCCTCTTATCTTTTTTGCTTATTCTATATAACGTCAGCAGACAAAAAGTTGTTGTTGAATATTCAGAAAAAAAATTAATATTTATTTTGAAATTTAAGGTGATTTATGCTGCGTTTGCGGTGATGTTGCTTCCGGTATCCATTATTCTGTCCCGGCATGCAATGGATGTAAAACATTTTTTAGACGTGTGGTTTTAGAGGTTGAATAGTATAATTTTAATCGAAATTTCAAATAATCAAATTTCAGAATCGCACATATTCATGTAAAAATAACGGAGATTGCATAATTGATAAATCTATGAGATGTTCATGCAGGCATTGCAGATATAAAAAATGCATACTTGTTGGAATGGATAGAGCTGGTACGTCGATTTTCAATAGAATTCGAAATTGACGGAAAAGTTAAAAGTTGAAGGTTATTTACAAAAACTATTTCAAAGTTCAGTGTGACTATGTAAGTTAAAAACTATTTTAAAACGAAAAAAAACTAGAATTAATAAAATATTCAAAATCTTTCATTTTCCGTGAAAATAGGTAAATTAGAATTATTATTAGCACAACACTCGTATATTTTATTTAAAAAACCTGCAACAATGATTTTAACAGTCTCACATCTTCTAGTGATTATAGTGAGCTAATATCATTTAAATGTGACTTGTTTTATATCATATCTCATTCAGAATTGAGTATGGAACGACGACGGAAACGGAAAAAGTTGAATGGGCTTGATGATGATGATATTAAGGAAATCGAAGTAAAGGACCCACTCATTGACTTGTTATTAGAAAAGGAAAATAGGTTTGGTTGAGGAAACTTTATAAAAATAAAATTGATATGCATAAGTTTAGGTTTCAAATGTTACTGGTTTCTGCTGAAATGCAAATACACACCACATTACACGAAGCGTTAAACAATGGCCATCGAGAATTTGACGTGGTATATACAAAAGTAAAATAAGATCAATTCTTTCAATTTTGTAATTTCAGTTTTTTCAGCACACTCGAAAAATGGATTCAAAGTATCCGACGAACTTTTCTTTTTGGAGAGCGAAGATTTTGAGTGTGATTGCGGAATGGGCCAAGTCTTTCGAGGTAAGTGATTTTTTAAACATTTGACAGCAAATATCTTTGCGCAAATCGTAAAATTGAATTTATTTAAAATCTCATTAGTTTCTGGTCTTTTTTCAATTGACGCTTTTGATATCTTTTTACATTTGATCCTTATTAAATCAAATTTTTTTTATCAAATTTAATTAGATCAATTTAATTAGTCAGGTTCAACGCGGCACTGAATTGCCAATTTATAGGTATTTTCTCGTCTTGGACAGGAGGATCAGAAGCGATTATTCATCCATACTGCTTTTTCGAATCTTGTTCTGGCTGAAGCATTTCATACCCCCGAGAATTTCACCGACCGAGTTGTATTTCCCGATGGATTATCAGGGTAAGAATTGATTTAATCAAATCATCTCGACACTGCGAATAGTATTAGCGGCTTACTCAATTTTCGCATATTAGGATTATTCATTTTAATCAAGTGCCAACTCGGATATTATTGGAAGCATTGCAATTTTTTTCAGGTTCCGAAGTGTCGCTCAAACCGTGGCAAGCGACGCGGTTTCGAATCGAACGTTTGGCCTCACCCCAACCGTCGTTGCAGTCATCAACGATGTGCTGGTGCCAATTCGGAAGATGCGCCTCAACAAAATTGAATTCGTCCTTCTACAAGCCATTATTTTCTACGATCCAGGTTAATAATGGGGCAAAGAAAAAACCAATTGAGAAGCGATGCTCCCATCACCGGTTGTAAACCAATTTTGCGAAATGAGAAAACATGGATTATTGATGGGGGGAAGGGGGGGGGTCGGATCTCAAATTTGAGAAGGGCCAAAAATAAATGATAATGAGAGTTTTGGATAAAAGAAACGATAAAATGAATAGGTAAATCTTTAGCAAAATTTTTTTAATCAAAAAAGATTCTTAAAAATTACGTAAGAAGCATACTCGAAAAATGTTTTCAAGACTCAAAATTTTAAATTTAACAGATTTTTTCAGATCTCTTTTTAGATTTTCCTCAAAAAGTTTAATATTACTATTTCCATTTGAATTCCAAAAATATCTCAGTTTTTTTTGTTTAAAACGCCCGGTCTCAAATACTAAACGCTCTACTGAAAATATATTGATTCCAGATTGTTTGTCGCTGACGAACCACGCAGCACAACTGATTGGTGCCAAACGTCGTCGTCTATTGAATTCTCTTCAATGTTATTTACGCAATCATCTCAAGGATCCTATTGAAGTGGCGACACGGTTCGCTGAAATTTTATTGCGAATTTGTAATGTCCAGGTTTGTTTTTATTTCCATTATTATACACCTTGCTCGATTTTTTTGTTTTTGGGAATTGAAATGAGAATTTATAATAATTTTATTTAAAATTTCGATAATTCTTATTATTTTTCAGAAAGTTGCTGCATACAAGCGTGAAACCCTTTGTACCATTGAAACCTTCGAACTCATGCAGCCTCATCCATTCACAATGGAGATTTCCAGGAATTACCCAGATCTATCTTATTTTTAAATATTGTACACTTTACACTCTGTTAATATACCTCAAAATCATGGTTACCATTAATATTCAGCTAGAATTAGCAAATTTTCGATCTGATTTATTTAAGCATAGAAAGCCAGGTTCTTGCCATAAAAATGTTAATAACTCTTTTTTGAACCTTTTTTGTTGTTACCAAATTTGACTGAATGCAAACAATCAAATTTACTATAAAATTTCTTTACGGGAACATTCGTTATAGTGACGATATTTGTCTTCTATTGTTAATTTCGGGTACTTGTTTTATATTTTATAGTTCTTCCAATATTCAAGGATCTCTTTGTGAAAAAAAAATCAATTGCTTCAATCAATTTATTTCTTGCATATTTTATGACATTTTCAAGTCGTTTCTGATGTCTTTGCGACGAATGTTTTACTCAATTATATATTTTCTTGTGATAAATCGTTTTGCGTAATTCGCTTCTAATTGAATCGACCGGAAACGAGAAGGGAAACATACGTTTGTTTCGCACGCCCGAAATTAAATTCAATTCTTTCTCGTTACCGTATCCTCGAAATTGTGGGGCGGAGAATGTGACGTACGGCGGCATATTCGTGTTCTGACAATGCACGAAATGGGCGTGGCTTCCGGTCGAAGGTGCCGAGCCGCGCGAATCGAAATTCATTTTATACAAACCAGCTTGTGCCAACATGAATCGGAGTATTTTCTTTGGTAAGCTCACAGCTTCATTGTTCACCAAGCTTTTGGTTATGCTTTTAGTTGTGCTTTTCTTCGCATTCATCGTCAGCGTTGAATCCCTTTGCGGTGCTCTTTTCCGTTCAGGACGGAGTTTGGTTCGCGTCGGAAATATCGAGTCAATCGAAGAAATTCCAAAACGATCAGTGGTCAGTTAATTCATTCATAGCTCGAATCCCAGATCTTCCTATTCTTGTTTTTTTGTTCAGGAAGTGCAAGAGTTTGTACCAATTGCTTCTTCTAGTAAAGAAGAAAGTCGATCGGAATCTATACCATTTGCTGGACCACGATTCTGGTTCTAGAAGACCCTTGAATTGTGAATTGTATTTAAAAAAAAGCTCCTTCTGTTTGGCAAGAGATCAACAACGCGTGATTTAAATGAGACTTTTTGGTATTTGGCGCAAACCGAATAAACTGTATCATTTTAATAATTTTTTTTGAGTGTTTCTGTGTTATAAATTTCCAGAGAATTCCGAGAAATTGTGTCATTTCTGCAATATTTTGAAAATTGAAAAAAAAAAAAATATAACATGACTTACGTGGAAGATTGAAGGTACATCTTGAAAGACAATCGTGAAATTTTAGAAAAAAAAGAAACAATATCATGGTTCTAATGCAAACTCCTTATTTTTCTCTGCGGTTAATTAATTCATTGGCTATTTTTAAGCGATGTCGGCAAAAAGAGAAGCTTCTCAACATTAACTGTTTACAAATTTTTTTTTTCACGATCCTGTTAGCCATTTTCGGAAAAGCATGATATAAAAGAATTTCAAGAAAATAAATATTACAGTTGTTAATGCTAAGCTTATTCCGTCTGTTCAGCGGCCCAAAGTAGCAGACTATTTCGATCATAGGGTTCAACTTTTAAGATATTTTCTGATTTAATTCATTTCGAAAATTTGAACCTTCGTCTTTTAGAATAATTATTAATGTGTGCCAAATCTGCGATTACGCAGAAAGCAAACGGTCGCGGGGTCCCCTGGGGATCTTGAAGGGGGAAAGGTCATTTACCCCTAAAATGGAATAGAAAAATTTATTCTTAAAGACAAGTTACAATGAAATTAAGAACTGCTGTCGTTGAATTACTTGGGCATCGGAGCCGGTGGCGGCTTCTCCTTGGTCTCGGAGCGAGGGCGAAACGAAAATGACGACATTGTGAGAATACTGAAGAATGACACCTGGAATTTTGTCCACCTTTTATGCCACAAAATTCAATAATCGAATGATCGCATCAAATATAATCAAATTACTCGATTATGTTTGGAAGAAAAAAAACCATTTAAGTCATCACTCAGCAGAAAAGTTTTCTATTTTTGATATAATTAAGCAAATTGCACAAAAAATTTGGAACGCTTCACGAATTTGCGTGTCATCCTTGCGCAGGGGCCATGCTAATCTTCTCTGTATTGTTCCAATTTTAGTATATGTTCTCGGAAGAACGAATGCATTCAAATGCGCGCGGTTTATATACCCCCTATTCTCAATGTACGGACATCTACGCGGGCCACGGCACCGTCTATCCATGGCACATGGCAAGAGAGTGTGCGATAAGTGAGAAAGTAAACGTCGAAGATATCCATGGTAACTAATATTTCTTTCTAATTTGCTACAAAACCAATCTAATAAGACAAGAACATATTTTTAAAAACACTTTTTGGAAAATTAAATCACAAACAATTTTAAATAAATAATTTAAAAAAATATAAATTTTATGAGATTCGGAACAAACCAATTTTCAAACTGTTTGCCTGACATAAACTTTATACAAACAAATTCCGAAAAAATAATAAAATTCAATGTGTATTTTACAAAAAACTCAATAAATCAATTTTAGTTAAAATACATATTCTTTGCGCGCTTTCAAATCTCAATATCATTGTTTGTTAAGTTGAATCCGATTAATTTTTGGGTAGGAACAGTTCTTCCATTTAATTTAGGTGGAACACAGTGAAGTTTGACAGCCAATCCAAAAATCTACAATTATTTTTTGCTAGTAGATATATAGTCGGCGTCCGGCGACTGCTGTATGCGGGTAGATTTACGAAGATGCTTATTTCTCTTGGTCACGAACGAACTAACTGGTTGCTTCACATTTTATGGGTCGGCTCGATAATTTTCAAATCGAACGACGTCAGAAATTTCAAGAAATGTCAGACTCATCAAGAAAAAATAAATGATTCACGTGAAAACAGCAAAATAAGCGTTCACACGTGGCGAGACCTTTTCAAGGCGCATGCGTATAAATCTTTATTACTACTGATTGTAATACAAATTTGGCTTTCAACTTATCGTTTTGATAATATAGAAAATATTGAAAACTATCACAGTTCTAGGTTGTATTTCATTGTTATCGACTATATAGATATATTATTGAAAAAACTTATTTTGCTTGAAGAAGGCAAGAAAATTAACTCTGGATTCCAGTTCAATTTCAGAAAATCGTTAAAATTTTTCAATTGCTGCTTGAAGCAACATAAACATGTTTTGCCGAACCTTGTAAACAAAATATGGTTTTTAGTTATTGTTGTTGTGGCGAAGTTCCTATTTCTTCGGTTTTTTTTTAGATTTCTTGTTGATGATGGCATCCCACCGCCTTCATTATCATCCATCCCTTTATTCTGGCGAACTTGTAAAAGTGCTTTTTTCATGTTTCCATTCCTTCTCTTCAAAAAAATGTGTTAGCTACGCTTTCACTAGCGTTGCGGCGTGCGGGCCCCAGTCAGCAAAAAAAAAGAAGAATGAATGAATGAACGGAGTGAGTGAGCGCGGAACGCGAGGGCCTCAATGGCAGCGGCGACGAACGTGCGTGTGCCGGCCGGTGTCTCGGCGTTCGTGTAACGCGGCGTCAAGCGCCGATTGTGGAGGCCGGTGGTGGGACGTTTTCCGCGCCTGCGCCCACTCGCTTAGTCTCCTCCTCTCGTTCGTGTGTTCCTTATCGTGAACGGCTGGCTAGTGAGTTTACTCGGTGACCGACTGACCGTCATTCCATTTCTCGCGCCCCGCAATTTTGTTTGACATTATTTCGAAGTCACATTGATGCTGCTAGTTTTAGATACAATTATAGTTACAAGTTCCCTTTTTTGGGAAGAGCGTTTCCGAAAATCAGCAGCAGCAAAGTGAAATCAACAATTATGCGTAGTTTCGAATTAGAGCACTGAAATTGGAAAACGACTAATATAGCAATATTTTTCTAGTAATTTCTAGTGACTTTCAAAATTTTCAATATGGGGTCAAATTTTTTATTCAATTTTTGAAAATAAAAATATTACTAGAACACCCTTGGATAAGGCTTGAAATTCTATAACTTCTTAAAAACATCAATGGAATAGTTCGATAATTAATCACCGGTTAATATTTTGGTTCATTTTTACTAAATTGAGATAAGAGGATCGTACCAATTCGTACAAGCCGGAGTCTGCTGACAATAGTACAATAGAGGTTTTAATTTTTGATGATAACGTTTGCTGACTGTTTATCTCATAAAGTGTTTTACATTTTGAAGAAACAAGGGAAAATTGAGAAAATATTTTTTTTTTGGAGGCCTAGTGAAACAAAAAAAACATAATCGGGAAGAAAGCTTGAGTTTGCATTTAAAAAAACGAAGACACTTAATTGGATACATTTTTGTTAAAAAATCATTTTAATTCAATCATCAGCGAATTTCTTCTTGAAAAAAAAATAAAAGTTAGGTATAATTTAGTCAATTCAAAAAGAATTGAATATTTTACGATTTAAATAATCTTCGACTGATGAATCTACTAAAATTTTGATCTACTTAGAAATGTCGAAAACTAAATTTTCCGAAACATTTTATTTTGGCTCCCAAAACTTACAATTTGAAATATGATCAATTTGAAAATTTGAATGCAATTACTTTTTTATTTAATCGGTACTCATATCAGTTAGTTGGCTTATATTGTCTGTAATTTTTTGTAGTATTACTGTATCAAAATGGCGGAAAACTCTATAAAAGTGTAATTACATATTTTCACGGGATATTCTTGAGCTATTCTTGGGATAAATTATTATTTTTCGTAAAAAAATAATTATATATTTGCTGATCTCATTGATTTTCAACTCCCCCCCCCTGTCTTATTTTCTTCTTACTCTTCACACTAGTTGCTTAATAATCATTTACTCAAGCTGAGAATTTCCATTCCCAACAATCCCACTTTACTCATGAAGACAACAACTATTTTAATAAGTGTGCTAATTAAGCTCTTGTAGTGAAACTTCTTTCTCTCTTTCACGTTGCGGCATTCTATTTCATTGATATCATCGTTGGGGCCACATTCCTTCCAGAGCATTCTTTCGTCTCGCTTTCATTTTTCACAACGTCGAACACGGAGCCGCGAAGCTGGCACAACCTGATACTGGAACGCCCGAACGAACTCTTCCGCGAGCCGTCGGTTGAAAAGTGCACACGCAAGTGTTCAGCGCCGAATGAGAGCGCAGACAATTGTCCGGTGGGGGAGCGCCGCCGCAGGGGCCATTGGCGCTGCCGGGCATCGATGCGCGCGTTGAGCATGCGTTCTGCTGCTGCTTGGTGTGTATGAGTTTGTATGAGTGTGTCTGTGTTAGTGAGTGTGTATGCTATGTGTGTGTGTGTTCGATTAAAAAAAAGAGTGAAGAGTGAAGATGAAAAAGAAGAAGAAGAAAAAGAGTGCAAGCGAACTTGTTCGGGCCGTGCCAGTCAGAGGGAACACTGCAGCGCCTCAACGCGAGCGGCGCCCGAATGCGGGTCAGCGGCCGTCGGCGACGAACACCTGCGCGCATAGAGTATAGGAGACGAAGAGGCGCAGCGCGCCAAAATAGTTTTCACTAAACCGTCTCCCGTTCCGCAATACAGGACGAGCTCGACGTCCACTTTCGTTTTTTTTTTAGTGGACAAGAGGTGAACACCGTTCGCTTTCACTGCATTCGACGCGACGTGTGGTCACTCGCGCTTTCACCTCGTTCTTTCGCAATTGTCAACCCATATTTTTTCCCTTTTTTTATTTACAGACGAGTAAATGCAAAATTATCCAAGCTAACGATAAACGATCAGAGAATTACAATATTTAATGTGGAAAACACTATGAAATAATGTCTTATTTTTTGAAATATTAGCAAAATCCAATACAATGCGAAACATCGGACTTGATCACGCTTCTCTCTCATTCTCACTCCTGCCCGATCTCTCCCAATTTATTAATAGGACCTTCGATATTTCAGCGAATTTTCGGATTCGCTCAAACGCGGGTTTTTACTCCACATCCCAGTTGCCAGACGTGGCGGATGCGTAACTTGTCGTCACGGTTACATTGGTAAGCGTTTTCATATATATTTTTGAAGTCGCTGAAATTATGCATTTTCAGAGTTTTGCGTTTCGGTTGAAGGCTAAAACTATGTTCGGGCTTCCTTGGGTTGTGTGAGGTGCAATTTTCCATTTTCAATTACAGATTTCAAATTGATTTCGCCGATTTTCAGAGGCATTCCACGTATGACCGATTCGATGGAGGTTCAGCTACGGGCTGCGATGTCTAGGGAACCCCACACTGGCATACTGAACCATCGCAGTCAAATTGTACGGAGGACTTGCGATAATAACAGTTAATCAATAAAAAAAATTTTCTTCGGAATCTGCGTTGTTTATGTTTGTGTGAAAAAATTTAAGGTAAACAAAACAAAAGCAATTGAATCAATATGTGCAGTCGAACCAATCGCGCGAAAGTGATCGTGGGTATCCTTTGAAAACCTCCATTGTTTCACTACCAACAGCCCAGTATTTATCTCTCCAGAAAACAAATGATGATTTTTTGTCAAATCGGAACGCCGCATCGAGCTCTCTTGGGTAATCCTAAAATAAGAGAAGGATTAATGATTGTGTGTTATGTCGACAACTTTTGTGAAAGCTGATCGAATACGGCGTGGCCAAAAATGGCGAATGTCGTCGCGCGAAAATCGCCAAAAGAACCCTTCTGAAAATTCCAGCATCATTTTGGAAATTTTGTAGTTGCGTTTCGCCTTTTCCTACTCTATTTATAGAACGGTAACAATTTGACGTTGTTCTTTTTTTTATAAAAGTTTCCAAATTGAACAAAAAAAATTGAAACTGGTTTTCACACAATATTTTGATTGGAATCGGAAAGTTGACGAATTCTATATGAACAACTTTCATCACCAACTTTCTCCGGAAACCACCGTCTTCAGTTAAGCGCTGCCTCCTGTTCACGATTAATATTAAAAACAACAATTTTTTTCAATAGCCTCCTTCCAATATTAATATATTTTTTGTGTAAACCGATCACTCTCGTCGATTATATTTGCAATAAATCGCTTTGCGAACCTTCCCAAAAAAAATATTTTTTAAACCCACTTTTGAAGAAAAATGGTTTTCCATCGTTCCTATATAAAGCGGCTCCAAGCGTATCCGGCAGCGAATTCAATCCATCCCTAATCTTCTTCGGATAATTAGGAACTGAATTTCCGTGTCTGTTGAGCACCCAATATTCATTTCCCTAGAGTTTGAAGATTTCTTATTCAGTATACAAAATATTGAATGCCTTGAATACATAAATATTCCCGTTTTTGTCAGTTGTTGCAGCATCAATAGGTCCCTCAAAAGGAAATAGTTCGAGAATAATTTTAGGGTTTTGAACTTTTCCACTTGGGAGCATTTCAAATACTACATTTTCTGGAAAATATTGAGTATTCTCTGTGAAAAAATAATTCAAAAAAAATTTACTTCTAAATGCAAGAATTGTTCCATTTTTCAACCTTGTAATCGCATCCAAATAAGGGTTTTCGCATATTTCTTTTCTCCACTGTTTTTCATTCACTTCGAACTTCTTACCAATATCATTCTTTCCATACAATTGTTTGATAGCTAATATATCGTCTAAAATTTGTTCAATATTTATAGAGTGGTTGTAAATTTTTGGTTTCAATTACCAAAATGCAAATGCAATTTCGCTCCAGTATATTGCTTGTAAAAAGGGGCCATAATGGCTAGATAATTGGATGAATGTTTCAAGCCTAAGGCGTGCCCAATTTCATGAACAGCAACAGCATACAAGTCAACTCCCTCTGACAAAAACAGCATTATTGATGGATTTCATTTTTTTTTTAGAGTAATAGGTCATACTTGATTTGTCAGCGCTCCAATATTCATCTTCGTCAAAATGAATATCACCGCCATATCTAGGGAAAAATGCGTGAGCTAAAATGTTACCTGTAAGTTTTTATCAACTAAATATTGGTTTTTATTTTTTTTTTAATTTCAGTCACAGAATTCAATTCCAAAAATCTTACCGTTCCCATCAAAAGGCTCACCATCGTCATGATTTTTACTAGCAAATATAATATCAATATTCGCATCCTTCATTGAATTATCAAGACGAACAAACCGAAGCTGTGTGTGTTCTTCCCATGTCTATAATGAATAAAATTACGTGAAATGTCATTATGTCAAAAAGTGACATTTTCTTCAATCTAGTTTCTCTGTTTAACACTTTTTTTCAGAAGTCAATCATTTCTAAAAATTTATTAAGAACTCGAGTTGGGCTCATCGATCCCAGTAGCCTTGTTCTTTATAGCATAAAACGGCGAAAAATTCAAATATTCAAAATTTATTTTCCTAACACCGACAATTATTAATAATTTTCGATTATTTACATTTCAATTAAAATTCATAAAAATTTTCAAAATCTCTACATAATCTAATTAAATAAGCTCTGATTGCTTTTTACTGATGTTAACCAAAAAAATTGAAATTTTGAAAATGGGCGCGAAATTCGAAAAAAATCACGATTAAATCTCAATAGGAAATTTATTTTTCCTTATGTCACAATAAATTTTAAAATATGCGAATCCTAACACAATTTTTAATTAGTTTCACTTCTCACAAAAGTCATTAATTTTTCATTTACCATTGGAAAAGTTTGGAATATTTCAAAAGATGTTTCTAAAACGAACTTTGGTTCATTCATGGCTTTTAAAAATGTAATTCTACTACTCATGAAATTCAATACACACATTTCTATGGTTAATGAAAAGTTCGATCAAGTGATATGTACGAATGAATTAACGCCCATTCACTCCTATCGTCAATAGATTCAATCAAGATATAAATAATGAGTCCTAAACATTACTGAAACGTGACTCGCTCAATATTTACACCATGTGACATTTTGTTCCTCAACTGCCATCCAATCCCCCATTTTCTTGACTTGACACAAACCAAACAAGATGAATGTGCATATATGTTTCATATATATATATATGTTCCAAAAAAATTGATTTATTTCTTTGAATGTTTGTTCATAATCGCGCGACACGCGTAATCGGCTCCCTTCCCCGCACATCACAGTTTTGTGCAAATAAAATGACATACCGCAAACGCCTTAGAAAAGACGGCGCGTTGTTGGCTCAAACTCATCCTTTCGCTTGGCTTTTTCAATTTATAAGTGACTATATTAGTTCCCCAATAAGAACCTACAAAACTTTCATTATCCTTATTTGGCTAATATTATCTATAGGCAACCCTCGATTGAATATCGTTTGACTCGCGAACAATCGGCGCAATCGCGACCCTATAATTCATCATATCAATCCATTAAACTCACAGTTTGCCGCCAAACTTACCATCCAGATGAACAGAAACGATAATAATAATATGAAGTGCATAATAATCGGATAATCCAAAGCGTTGGAAAATACTAGGTTGAATAATGACGAAACGAACCAAAGAAGGTCAATAGGTATGGTAATTAGAGGGTTTGTCTGAATCAGGTAGGTTGAATCGATGGCCGCGTTCAGAGACGTCTCATCATTGCCTTTTTGATCGGTTTTTCTGTTGCACCAGGTCGTTGGTATTCAACACCTTTTGTGCCGCGTTTATGTAATGTCGAGCAACGAGAGCGTCGAGTCACCTCCACCACTGCAACTGGCTCATTACAACCCACATGGGTGATGCTTGGTTAGTTATGCCACGGGAATCCGAGTGTCGATGAGAGTTCTCACGGCGATTGATGATTTACTGCGAGGTTCGCAAATAAAATCCATATAGTTTGCATTGGTCGATAAGTAATTTCCCTTTCGTTCCAAGCTACATACATCAAAGAAATGAAGATGTGCCAATTAAATGCCAAACGAGTTTCTATTTTTACTCGTATTTCGTACAATATTTAGACGAAAAAAATTTGGCCATTTATAGTTGCGTTTAAGCTTTTTCATGTACACGTAAAATAAAGGCAAACGCGACAATAATTGGCCAAATTTTGAAATTGTGCCACTCAAAATGAACTATATTCCGAAATTGTAGCATAAGCTTGAGAGCGTCGTTCAATAAGACTGCTTCGAACATTTTCATGAAATCCAAATTTAATTTAAAAAAATTCAGGTAAATCATTCACTTTTGTTGATCAGCCAAATTAGCCCCCATGCGTCATTGTTAATGTTAATGAACAATATCGAAGCAAATTAACAATTCCAAAGGGACGTTTCTTTGTTCAAACCCTTCTTTTTTGTAGTGTCATTTATCAAATTTCAGCATTCCCTTTCAGTATGTCTGTAATCTCCTTGACAGGTGTTTTATGTTCGTACATTTCCATAGCAACTTATACTCAGAAAACAACGAATTCAAATGAGCTATGTCTTGAATTTAAATTTTTGCCGAAATGCTAAAAATTTTTCATTTGAAATTTGGGTGTTAGCCAATACGCTGACTGTGGTGCGAAGGTTCAATATTTTTTTTCGCACAAGTTTAAGTTTCACAGAAATTTGTAATTTTGCGCATAGCTAATTCAAATCAATATTTTAAATGTTAAAAATTAATTTATTAAAAAAGGTCTAGAGCGGAGAATATCAACACATGCAAACCAAATTGTTATATTTTTTTGCGTAATAATTCGGACAAATTCTAATATCCATGTTGTAATTCAAAAATAAGGGCGCGTTTTGCGCGACCATCGCCATCATTCCGCATCAGCAGGACGCCGTGTCTAATCGCCTTCACCCATCAATTTTGCCTCGTTTTCGCGCAACTTCAGCTCGAGGCGGTTTTTTTTTGTGTATGTATGTTTGTCTCCTTCCAAACACAACACTTTTTTATGCGTGTGGCGTGTCCTTGTCGAGAAAAATACATCCCATTGGGCAAAAAATTTGTGTTCTTCCATCTCGACTCATTCCTGTTCTATGAGTCATCGATGTTTTTTTTTTGTTGTTTGCTTCCCATATATCAAAAGCCGCTGATCATAGTAGCCCTATTTCAAATATTGCGCAATCAAGTCTTCTCATTCAACGGAACGAAAATCCATTAGTGAAATTGAAAAAAAAAGTTGCAAGACCGAATGGAACATTTTTAAAATGTGCGTGAGCTGCACAATTAATGCTTTTTGTCACTGGATTTATAAATTTTATTTTTCAACTCCAGTTATCAAAGGCAATTTGATTTATTAAAATTCCAAAAATTTAATTAATTTGAAATTATGTTCTATAAGAAAGATTCTTTGAATCGTTTGAATGTGTTAGCACAAAATTACTAGCAATGTCTGGACATTGTTAAAATTTTAATGAAAATTGTATACAGCGCTATCTGCGACTGCCACTATACAATCGTGGCGCAGTTGGCGAACGCGCCCACCGTGATGCGGAAGACTATTGTTTCGCCCTTCTTTGCAATTTTTAAATCTTTTACATCAATTTATTTTCTTGTAACTTTTTGCATATTAACTTTAATTCCCTATGATGGTACTATGCGTACTATGATTAACAATTTCGATGTCGGCACATCCATTATTTTTACATTTCAATAAATTGTAGTAGTTTCACAAATTCACGCGACCTTGTTGGCGGGGCGTCAAAAACACTTGAAAACACATACAAGTATTTATTTAAATCGTCCAAACCTGGGCCAACAGCAAACAAGATGAGATTGGTTTTATTACCAAGTCTCTCGATTCCCCCCCCCCTTCCCCCAAGTTGGTGTAATTGCCTCAATCGCACAATAAGACTCATTAATGCATTTTTTTTTCTCTTCACATCAAAGTGCACAAAAAATGACGTGGCATAGATGATCCAACACAATTTCGAAATCGGCGGCAAATTTGAAAAAAAAACCAGGGGGGAAAATACAAACGAAAAGACGGACAAATAGGCCATTATTTCTGATTTATACCCCGATTTCTCGCGGGCAAGTTTGTCTTTCACGGGTGGTCCAACTTTTGTTCATCATTTCGACAATTTCCTACTACCACTACTTCCCTTCAAATTTTTTGTTTTAACTATTTTTTTTTTCATTGGTGAAAGAGTGGTCCAATAAATTCTGGTGCATGATATTTTACTTTTCAACTTTCGCCTATTTATTTTATTTCTTTTTTCACCCTCCTACTAAAATAATCCGGTTTTGGCCTCAATTTTCAAAATCAATTCTATACCATCAATGTTGTGTATAAACGGAAGCAAATAAATGTTTACATAGACATTTGTAATTGTGGTACTCTTGATGATGAATATATTACATTCATCATGACTCCCGCTTTTTTTGGCATTTTTTTGCTACTTTTTAGCTGGGGAGAACACCCAATTAATTTACAATGATGTATATTTATGCGTTGGTTTCCGATGGGGCGGCATAATTAATTTGATATTAGTCATTTGTTATGCCTTGTGATTTTATTTTCTTGTATGAAATATATGAGAGCGTGTTCGTTAAGGTTTTAAGATTGAGAATGGGTTTACAACACTTTTTTTTTGATGATAAATTAGAATTTTTTGACGTGGTTTCCACGAAATGATGTATTTTGGCATGTGTGCATTTCTCTTCCAAATGTGAAAATTTTTGAACAAAAAAACTAGTGGCATTTTATCCTTTTTGTCTGTTCGAAGAACTACGGTTGTATGTAATAGATTCAGTAAAAAATTGTGTGGAATTTGAAAAAAAAACATATTTCTGTTATTTTTTTTCGGTAGTTTAATACAAGAGGAATTCTAGTGGCTCATGTAAGTTTCATAGGGTTTACCTCATCTCGAAATGTTCTATTTCTCAATTGCCGATTTTCAATTTCTATCAATGTCTAGCCTAGAATTTGAAATGTTGTTTCCAAAAAATCCCATTTGCGCCAGAAACCACCTGCAGCCATTAATTTGAATTCAATTCTTTGTTGTTTTCCTATTATTTTTGACGCGTTATAATTTCTAACACCCATAATTTATGCTGTTCATCTTATTTTTACGGGTAACGAAAAAAAAACTCGAGCAAAACTTATTCTTGCTCTCAAACTTCGTAAAAAAAATTGTCGCTCGAATCTAATTATCCATGTTTTTTTCTTTGCCGTGAATTCCGTCCGGTCGCCTACTGCCTTTTTTAGTTGATTACAATTAATTTTCACTTTGGCCTTCTTTTCCGCCTCACCACATCCGATTCCGAAATTTTCATTTTGGTATCGAAGCGAAACGAACAAAAGCTTTCGACATTTATTAATTATATCATTTTCGTTTCAATGAGACACTATGAGAGACCTCTCGCCCTCACCTCTTTCTCTCACTCGTAACAAAAAACAAAAAAAAATGAAACAATACCAAATGCGATGAAAATTGTATTGTTGTGCATTGTTCTCCACTTTTCGAACTCACATCTTCACCCTCTTCTCCGGTTTCGATTTTCACCCTCATTTTTTAATTATGTCCCATCTAGCAAACCTTGTCCGCGCAAAGAAGAGGAGGCGAATTTAATTGACCATAAATGGGACTGGTCGAGAATTTGTCGAAACATACATACTTTGACGTTTTGTGCGAATTTTTCTCATGCAAACCTGTCAGATCATTCGGTTTGCACATTTATTGTAAACTTTTCACGCTTTTCATGTCAACATTTTTTTTGGCGAATAAAAATATTGAGTGGAAATTAGTTTTTTTTAAGGTTGAGATGATTCACTTTTTCGGAATTGATGACTGGCTTACCACTTCGGGAAGAACCTGCAATATCAATATGAAGGTAATTCTTCAATCTATAACCTTTTTTAAACCTTTTTTGTAGAAGTCCATTCTTTGTGCTTTGACTTTTATTCTTCTTTTTGCTTCCGGCTTGATGCAATTTTTCTTCATTGAACATTTCAAATTGGTGGTCCCTTCAGTCGGTACGTTATTTTTTACTTCCGAGATAGGCTTATAAAGCCAATAAATTGGTGCCACGTTAAATGGTAGATTCGTGCGCAAAAAAATTTCCGGCCCATTTTGCCGAACAAGCCGATCTGTCTTTGTAATTAGGCGACATGCAAAACGGAAACATTCAGAGTTTCACTTGATTTAATGAAATACAAAAGATTTTCGGGGGGAATGTTGAATAGAATTCGAAATGGGACATGAGTTATTCTCTTGAGAAAGCGAACGATTAAGCGAAATTGTTCTATAGAATCCAATTTTTTTGGATATTTTTTTGTCATACTTGGAATTAAAGAAAATTCTACTTGTTTTTCACTAATGAGAATCCCATCCAAATAATAATTAATTTTTTATTTCAGGACATGCCGTTCTTTTCCTTTTTGAGCTCATCTGTATGCTCGTCTTCATTCATGCTCTTTTCAATGAAAGAGCCCTTCTTTTTCTACCATTTGTGGTAGCCGAGGTACGCATAAATTATCAGATTTTTTAATATTCCTCAGCTATTCAGATTGTGAGATGCGTCTGCCTTACAATTGTAATCATCTTTTACATTGTGAAAATGTTCCGAGACGGCGATAAGGAATTTGAAAAGTTCGATAATCTCATTATCATTTCTGTCAATGATGACAATTAAATTTTAGACCAAAATTCGCGTTACCGGCTCTTAGTTATGACAGCACACATAAGAGTGTAATGTTCATGACGAAACTTGTCATCCATTTGATCTTCACGTGTTTTGCTCATATCATTCTCGCGGCAACTGCCTACCGCTGTTATCAGGTTAACTATAAAGTGGCATAGTTTAAATCAATGATAACACTTTCAGATTTACTCATGGCCAACGCGTCGAAACAGAATGAATAGCGCTGATTACCATCCAACGCAGCCGATGCACTCAGTTATTGTGCTTGAGCAGCCAATTGAGCAGGCTATGTATGGAAAGAAACCATGAAAATGCAAAACACAAACCGCATTAATTTAATATGTTAAATGTATATGTACATTATTTCACGGGTAGATCATTTTTGTATCTCTCTTCTTTCTTGAAAATCCAATTATAATTAGAGTAACCTATTGTTGGTTTCAAAGGACTGAATGGGCGGGACCATCCGAAATTAGTGTAGATTTAAGGTCTAAGCATTTTATTTGACAGAATATTAAAGGAGCATCAGCTAAAATGCAATGAACGACTTCCGATTTCGTTTTGCGTTGTGACACTTGGCACACATTCAATATTTCCGATCGATCATTTGAATTCAACAATAGTATTTTTTCCTGAAAAAAAAGCGTAGCCACCAATTATTTGACCCACGTTATTATATGTATATGTAATAACTATGGAGTTGTGTAATTAATTTTTTTCAAAAAATATTGCAAAATTATTATAAAAAAGAAGAATTCTGAAAACCATATTTTTCAGAAATTTCATCATTTGGTAACTTTGAAAAATATTGTACTATTTTTTAAATTGTCTTTATTTTTTTTTATATGTAACAATAAATGATGGTTTTCTCCCTCACATTCGAAAAATATGAAATCGAGATGGGTCGACAGTGGGAGATTGTCTCAAAAAAAGAGAAGCGATCGCATAGGTGAGACGAAAATGCGCAATCAGCTGCCCGAAAAAACTCATATCTACCGCTTTTTTTTGAGCGTCATGCGGTACGGCGGCAGAAGCAACCCAAACGGTTGTAACGCTTCAATGGAGATGATATATGCGACTGATATGTGTATTCGTATAGAAAGTGAACAATTGTAGAGAAATGATTTCTTGGGAATTGACTTTATTTTGCAAGTTAGACAGTTATATTATTAAAGGAGCATGAAAAAAAAATCAGTTCGAGTGTGTAAAATAAAATGTAATGTTGCAAGAAAAACTGAAGAAGAATTTTATATTCTTTTAATGGCGTAGATAAAATCAGTATTAAACAGATAGACGTGAAATCCCATATTAACCTCAATTCTACACACTTTTATCTATAGTAGAATATTTTAGGAAATTTCCCATGTAGGGATCGAATCATTATTATTTTTGAATAGAAAATTCAACATTGTAAAAGGGAAACTAATTTTGTTAAATTTACCAAAAAAAAAACACATGTTTGAATTCCGAAAACCTTTTTATTCTTCCAATGACAACCCTTTTTTTGAAAATCCGGAATTTCTGAATTTGTGAAAATAACATAATAGTAGTTTTTAGCAAAGTTGCCTGAATTGAAACTTGAATAGACGACAAACCCATCTATTACAGTCATAACTATAATGACGCATTTCAATTTAATAACAGCCTCGAATGCGCAATCTCATCAAACGGGTGAACCCGCCCCAAGACGTTGTAAGCAACACCTCGCGCAGGCATCATCGCAGCGCGACCGGCCGTTTTGTATAAAAGGCTGAAGCACTTGACGAAATTCGACCACTGGTGTGTCATTCACAACAGCGTCTCATCTCAGCTTTTCAGCCATGAGTGGAGCCTTTGCTGCCTACAGCAGTATCGCGATATGCACTGTCAGCATTGCGGCCACGCTTTTCTACGTGCCATTGTTTATTTCACGAATTGAGGGAATCAGAGCTAATTTGGCTTTCAACATGGAGGAGTTCAACACCCTACAGGTTGATTTGAGTTCTCTTTGTTTCCATGTCAACCTATTCTCATTGCAGGCCGAGGTTTGGGGCGATATGATCAATGTCAGAAGCGAGATTCCAGGAGCAAAACGCAACATCGTGAAAAGACAATCGACCGAGCAATGCAGTATGCTGTCCATTTCTCCCTACAAATAATTTCAATATAATATTATAGACTGTGATGAACAGAACTTGTGCCCAACTGGACCAAAAGGACGTCCGGGACCTGACGGACTTGACGGACTTCCTGGAACTCCAGGAGAGCAGGGAGAGCCAGGACTTCCAGGAATCACGCCAAAGGCTGATGTCAATAGGGATGGCTGCCGTGTCTGCCCACCAGGACCACCGGGGCCACCAGGATATCCAGGACAGCCGGGACCACAAGGACTTCCAGGAGGTCAAGGAGAACCAGGAGATGCTGGACGCCCAGGACCTGTCGGACCAACAGGACCACCAGGCGACATGGGAATGATGGGAGACGCAGGAAAGGAAGGAGAGAAGGGATTGCCAGGACGCGAGGGAATCCGTGGAGAAAAGGGACCATCTGGACCACCGGGACTTCCAGGACTTGTCGGGCCAAAGGGATTCCAAGGAAACGCTGGACCACCAGGAAATACTGGAGAAATCGGACCAGAGGGAGACCAGGGACCACCAGGAAAGAATGGTACGTTAATAGGATTTTAGTGTATACAGCGATCGAAAAGTTGACTTTCCATGATTACTAAAATTCTTGCAAATGCCAGACAAATTCTTATATTGTTTGAACCAACCATATCGATCAATTTTGTCTGGAACTATTTATTTCGGTCTAATACCATGTGAATTATTAGACTGATTTGAATAGTTACAGAACAATTTTGATTCGAAAGTTTTATAATAATAGAAGAGTTTTCTTGGCGGCTCTTTGATTTCTTTTTGATTGCTACTGATTTCTTTTAAAGGAGCACCTGGATACGATGGTGGTATCGGAAACTATGGAGAATCTGGACAGCCTGGAGAGGACGCCGGATACTGCAAGTGTCCATCAAGAAAGCCAAGAAAGCATTAAATACATATCGCATTTTATATATCATAAATATATTATATTTACAATTGAACACATAAATACTTTTTGATGAAAATAGAATTTTAATATTGTCGAATCGACGTTCAAAGTTTCTCTAAAAGGAATACAACTGATGTGTTTGGTAAATGAGCATTTCTTTGGTAATAAAAAAAATGTTTGAGCATGAAAAATCACGGCTGAACTCAATTTGTGTTTTAATTTTTTCACTTGTTCTTTTTCGAAGAAAAGTTGATACGATAGGCTGAAGAAACAAAAGATATTATATACCTTTTGTGTTATAATTGAAAGCGTCTTAATTCGCTTTTGAAACCATGCGTTGTTGTGAAAAATTTCTTCCAATCCAACATATTTCAGTTTTAGTTTTTTTTTGAATATATACTCCAAAATCTTATTTAAAAATTTCTCACATTGCTGTGTCCCATAATTTGTCATCATATACAGTACCGCTCAAAAGGTTGGAAACTTTTGGTTTTTTGGGCATAACTTGATCGAAAACGTATGGATCGAGGTGAAACTTTCAGATATATTGATAAACATAATCAGAAGATTATTGGTACGGTAGTCTTATCATATGCAATTATGTGTGAAGTTTTTGTGGGCTTTTTCATGTTTTTTCAAAAATCACTTTTTTTCAACTTTTTTTTCAAAAGTTTTTTTTACTATTTTTCTGTGGTTCTTTTTGCATGCCCTTATTATTTTTGTAATTTTAGACATGTCCACTATCGAAAAAAAACTGAACTTGACTGTTGAACAACAACGGGCAATTTACGCAGGGCGTCAAACAGGAGCAACCCTGCAGATGTTGGCCGCCCAGTTAGATGTCACAAAATCTTGCATTTTCAAATGTTTGAAAAGATGGGAAACTCAAAGAGGGGTCCTAAAGAAGTACCATATTGGTTGTCCACGCGTGACAGATCGTGCGACTGATAGAAGCATTGTACGAGCCTCCAGATTCAACCCGCGAATGACGGCACCGGCGATCCAGCCCGAAGTTTTTGCCAATTCTCCATCGCCTGTTTCGGTATCAACAATCAAACGCCGTTTATCAGTGGCAGGATTGCTCGGAAGATAACCAGTGAAGAAACCGTTCATTTCGGAGAAGAATAGACGACGCCAGGTCGAGTGGGATAAGCAACATCTGAATTGGACGCGATTTGACAGGAATGGTGTTATTTGGTCGGATGAGAGCTTTTTGGCAGTGACGGAATTCAATGGGTCCGCCGTCCTGTAGGTTTTCGATACAATCCCAAGTATCAAACTCCTACTGAAAAGCACGGTGGAGGCAATTGCATGATTTTGGGTGCCTTTTCCGGAAAATGCATTGGCGCCCTTCACCATGTGAAAACAATCATGGATCGCTTCGTCTATAAGGAGATCCTGGAAAAGCAGATGTTGCCGCATTTTATGGCAATGGGTCGTGGTTGTGTTTACCAACAGGACAACGACCCAAAGCACACTTCCAAATTTGTGAAATTAAGAAAATTCGCTTTTTTTTCTCAAATATTCATCAATTGAGGATTGGTTCACAAGTCAACACATGAAGGTTATGGACTGGCCAAGTCAATCCCCGGACTTGAATTCCATTGAGCACTTGTGGGAAGAGTTGGAGAGAAGAGTGGCAAGCAGAACCGCCACAAATTCGAACGAAAAGTTCCGATAATTGGAAGAATAGAAAAAGATTCCACTCTCGGTCATCGACACCTTGATCGACTCCATGCCTCGCAAGTGCCAGGCAGTTATTGACTCCCGAGGCTTAACAATCAAGTATTAACCTTATAATTTTAGTTTCCAATGATTTTGTGTCAATAAACTATCTTTCCGGTTAAAAAAACCGACTTAAATTGCATATCCAAAAAAAATGTGTTTTTACGGATTTCTGAAAAAATGGCTTAAAATCCTTATTTGGTAAGTACGAATCATGTCTAATAGCTCATTATATCGGCAATTGCGTAAGAAACAATCGGAAAAAAGTTCATGTAAAAAAGTTTGGTTTCAAAAAAGTTATGCCCAAAAAACCAATAGTTTCCAACCTTTTGAGCGGTACTGTAATTATATATCGAATAACAAGAGTGTTCATGGAATATTCCCGATTGCGCTGAACTTTTTTGCTCACATTCATCATAATTAGTATCATTAAATGCGTGCATAATTCATTCCGAAAAATAAGTGAATCTTGTGACTCGGCGACGAATTCAATAAAAAATTATTGTTTTTATTCAATTCGATTCTATAATAACAGGATTTTGGTATCCCTTATCCCTCCCTTTGAAAATTACATGGTTAAAAAAAATTAGAACACTATTATTTTTGAAGCTGTTCCCTCAAATGTCCGGTTTCCACAAAACCTCTAACATTCGGCGGTCTTATCGACCATGAATTTATAAGCGAGTCAAGATCAAATGTCTAAACATCGAACTATTCCTATGCCATTGATCACTATTGCCACCGTCGACGATGTACTGCAGCGATGATGCTGAAAGTGAGTGGGCGGAATTTCTGTTCGCTTTGGGAAACAAAAACTGACGAAAGCAAATAAATATACACGCGGGAGTCACATCCAATTAAAATGAACCTCACATTTAAATCTGATGCCTCAAAAATATTGGTATTTCTCTGCTTAGTATTCAATCACATATGTATCGTCATATCATCAATGGTAATTGTTTAGTATCATTTAAACTTTCAAATAAACCAGTGAAATTATTTTTACAGCTCTCTTGGATACTTTGCATACTTCTTTAAGCTTGAGAATAGCGAAAATTCATCATAAAAAAAAAGAAAGAAGCTCAATTTGCTGCCTACGTTCCAATCAACCTAATTTAGATAGCGCTAAAATATTTAATCACAAGTCATTTTGCCAATTATGGCGTTGTTTGGCTTTGTAAAGTCAACATCATTAAACAAACAATGTCCATTTTTAAACTAATTTAATGTGAAACCTCGGGCATTTATCCCAAAAAAGAAAATACCAAAAGAATTTTTATTTCTGGTTACTACATGATTCTACAACTTTTTCTGGAAACCATTTTTTAGATGTGTTCCGATTTTATTAGTATTTACTTAATAATGCAATTTCCTTTATTTCAATTGGTCATTTAGGGAAATCATTTCACATTTCATATTTTAGTTGTCGAGAATTTATTTTTTAAATAAAATAGATCGTTAAAGAATATTTAGTATTATATATTTTTTTAAATTCCAATTTTTAAAAAATTCAATTTTTCATGTTTTTCTGCACAGATAGACCAATTTATTTAATTCGACGATTATATTGTAAAAATTATGATTAAAAATAAAGAAAAAATAAATAAAGTTCAATTGAATTTTATACATAAGGTGCCGCCAAGAGCCGAAGTAAATTCTCGATGTGAGCCTCTAGCGACAGTATCCAAATGTTTTTCTTCTAGATATCGCGAAAATAACGTTCATATGCTGTATTCGGATACACTTTTTTGTAATTGTTTGCAAAAACGAATCGCCTTATAAGAAAGGTCCACGATGTGACAATGTAAAATTGAAAAAATCGCTTGAGGCAGCTAACTCAAGTGTATTAGTCATCACTATCTAAAAAAAAACAAAAGCTCTCTAAACAACAAAACATAGGCCGATTTCAATCAGAACGCCAATATTTCTGTGCAGAGCTTCACCGAATAGTTTTGTATGCCAACAGTTCTCATTTATAGACCCAATGGAAAGATCAACTGAGTCAGGTAAGTGATATATTCAAAGAAAATATGTATTTGTAACCGAGAAAAAAAGTTCAGCTCATTATTGTGATATTAAATTGTAATGAGTCATTATATAACGATTTCCTCGGTAGTATGATGCATAAGAATTTCTGTTAGTAAATCCAGAAAAAAATTAACTGATTGTTGTATTCCCTAGATAAAAACTAGTATTTAAAATTACTAAAAATTAGTTGGTGCTTTAATTATTAGCATATATTTCATAATTTTTTTAATTTTTATAATTACAATAAATAATAGGATTTGAAATCAAGAGAATCAGTTTTAAAGATGAAGGCCCTTTTCAGTAAGCAACATATATCCATACTCAATATTGGGTTTGAAGACAAACCTCGCTGGCGCTAGATTTTTCTATCCTTTTAGAGCCATTAAAATCCTAATCGAATGACGTCGCCGCAGATTTAATGGTGTGCTCAATTTAATGGCCTTCATAAAAATATTTTATTCCTTCAGTATTCTTCAACATATTTCATCGTTTTTTTTTTCCTTTGATCATCTCTAATTAACAAACAACAACTATGATATCAGTTGTTTTATAAATGTTCGCCAATTTCTCATTGATCTGTGACCAACTAGGTTGTTTGAACTACATAGTCTTTCTATTTCCGACAAATTCAAACGAGTTTCTCAATTGATAAAGACTACAGTAAACGTGCGAAACATATTGAGAAGAATAATGATATTTGGTGTAATTGTCAAAGTTATACACCCAACTGCTCATATTACAATGAACCAATCAGTGTCCACGGTGCCATCAATATTGCACTCATCACTTTCAACGTTATCTTCCGTTTTCTTATCCAGCGGATCGCTCTCTATTTCTTTTCCATGCGGAAATATACATAGATATATTTATTATTCTATATTAATAAAAAATTGAAAAAAAAAACAAGTAGATCAATTTCAAACCCTAATCATGTTTTGCTAATTAATTTTTGCAATTAGAATCAAGCGTCTAAGGTTTCAGCCAATGTTCTCATGTTGCCATGACAGCTCTTTTTTTCCTTGAAAAAAAAAGTGGCGCGTGAAAGAGAAAAATTGCTGGCCCACATTCTTGCATAAAAGTCGAGTTCCCCTCCAATTTTGCATATTCAATTATATGAGGTTATATATTAGAATCGTTGCTAGCAGTGTAGAAATATCTAACCATTCCGCCACTGAGGTTAGAGGTAACCTTTTTCGATTTATGAAAAGAACGCCGAGGTGATAAGAGTGATACATGCACTTTTAGATCAGGTTAAAATTGATTTCAAAAATGAATTTCATCACTGTATTAATAGGTTTAAATGGATCTATGTTTTAAACATTATTTCCCGTTCCTTTCCACTACACCAAATTCTCAATTTGGCTGTTTTTTGTGTGCGGTTATCAATAGTATTGCGGCAGAACAGGTTTTCAGTTTGATCAATTACCTGGTACTGTGGTTTCAAACTATTATCTAACAAATTTGATATGAATGATCAAGGAAGAGCGAAAAGATTAATGACGTCAAAAGATGAAAGTTGCCGAAACACTGTATATTAATCGCAGCAAGAAATGGAAGCAGGCCTAAATGTGCCAAAATTGGGGGACGCATCTACGTACGCCTACCATGCAATATTTCTTGTCAATCTCTTGGCACCTGTTCTCATCATACAAGTTGACCTGTCGATTGACATTTGTTCGCAGTGCGTATGCCGTCCGTCCCATCGATGTTATTTTGCCACGTTGAAAATTGTAGACAATTTATGATTCGATTAGCCATATCGCATCAATTGTGTGTCTAGCATTTTCATTTTCAATTTTGCCCATGTTATATTAGTGTGATCTACGAACCCTGCGGAAATTTCGAAAAATGAGTGCAAAACTTGTCAAGCTTTCAAAAATCCTTGCTTCCTCGAGCTTTGTTGAACTATTCCAAGAAGGCAAGCGAGGCACAAACAATTTTTCGAAATTAATGTTCCCAATCGATCACAATTTTCACTCGATATTGAATCGGTGTGCGTGTCTCTCATCAAATATTTGACGATTCTTTTTTTCTCAATATGTTGCCTTTCAATTATTATTTGCAAAACGCGTGTCAACAAGCTCAAATTTTGTCGATATGCATCTCAGCGGATTTAATTAATGTATTCCTCCCCCGCTCAGAGGGATTTACATACACGAAGAGATGTGTTGGTTTGGAGGTAAAGCTGCTTAGCCTCCGCATTCCATTCCTTCGATATTCATTAATCTACGTGGTGTTTTTTTTTTGTGTCACATATTGAATTTGCATATGGCGAAAAAAAAGCAAATGTGCACGACTCCGGCGACCCACAAAATTTCTGTTGATGTGCACTTTCTGCGCGATAGGTACAGGGAGTACTTGAGAGAAAACCAAAAAAAAACGAAATCTCTGGTGTTCAAAAAATGCACGTGTGTTGCGGGAGTCGACTAATGTTTATTTGGCACGACAATCGGCGGATCGCCGTCTGCTTTTTCTCCTCCTTGAGTTTGGGCGACAAAACGCTTATTTTGCCTCGCTTATATTTCTTACCCCCGAGCTATTCCATTGAATCTTGACCTTTACCTCTTGTAGTAGCGATGGCGATGAAGAAGCCAATTGTTATCCTTGCTCTATTTTGAGCATGTCCCTCTATTACACTCAAGGAAACGTGCGTTTGTGCTTTCATCATTTTTTTCCTCTGTTCGAGATATATGTATAGATTGGTTGATCAGACATCTCACCTATCGGAAGGTTGAGTGAGAGGTGTGACGTCACAGTTTAACCGTGCATTTTTACACTGTTCGATTAGGGCATATGAACGAAAAGTATAGCCCCAATGAGGAATTTGCATAAAAGTGCAAATCACTTTCATTTTCATTCATGGCAAAGAAAAAACGAGAGTCGTAGGTGCAATTTGCAGCTGGCCAAGCGTCTAGCCAAAAAAAAAAATAAAAATTGTCAACGACGCATCACTAGGCAATAACCGTACATTATTATTTTCCCATGTGTAGGCGTCGTTTTTTATTTTGCATTTTTTTGCGATAACGAAAAAATGCATTGATCCCTCTCTCTCAACAAAAAAAACGACAGAATGATTCTAATGTTTTTTTCTTTTTTGTATTACAAACCAATTTTTTTTAGTCATTCTTTTGTTTTACAAATAATGAAATGTTTGGCGGTATTTTCATAAAATTGAAAAAATTAAAAAAAGTAAATCAATGTGACTTTTAGACAATTTTGCTACATGTCAACCTCAACATGAAATGGGATATTTCTGGCTGACCTCGGCATTTCTTTTCGGGATCCAGAAATTTCTTATATTGATAGCAAAATCTAATCTCGCCGTAGATGAAAGGCCAATCTATTATTAGCCCGGAAGCCAGTTTTTTTTCTGCTTCGCCGCATACCACTGTATATAGACCGCTGGTATCACCCCATAAAAAACTTCAATGAAAAATGCGCCTAGAGCAAAGTATATTATTTCTCTGTGCTCACCACATTGTCTAGCGTACAAATAGTTTGCCACTCGCCGCCTCATCTTTGGTTCTTTGCCGCTGTCCTCCAAATGACCATACTCTTTCGAACAAACCCGCCCATTTCGTCAATTTTCGCCAAATCATCAATTAATTTTGTGTGCGTGCGCGTCCGCCCTCCGTTGTGAAAGATCACAATTTTTTTTTATCAAGACACCATTACAACAAATTTGACTGGTTATGGGCTGGTCGACACGGCGTAGCGTAATGGCAACATTTTCGAAACGACATTGATCGAATGTCTTGCATTTCAATGCCAACACACCATTCTGACTCACTTTTTCATTATTCGTCCGCAATCATTTAATTTCTCTATTTTTCAAATTGTTTTTCTCGTCACCATTTTCTTTGGACGCCCGAATGTTTCCCTAATAAATATGCGATTGATGAAAAAAAAAAGCCACAAAGGGCCCACTTCTCCTCCTCCTCCGAAATGAGTAAGAGCGAATTCAATGTTGAATGACCGCTTTTCAATAAGGAGGCTGCAGACAGCGATGGCTCAGTGAGCACTAGCGGCGTGATATGGAGAGTAGAAGCAGTGACCACGTGAAAAAAGAAGAAGGAAAAAAATGCACGAGGTCCGTCAGCGTTTTGGCGCAATACACGACGAGTGTGGCCACCATTTTAGGAAAACCCTATTCGTTTTTCTATGTTACATTTTTTTGCGTCTCAACCCGATTTGTCGTTTCTGTCACTTTGTTTCAAATCACAAATTTTATTCCTTTTGTTTCGATGAGCTTAATGAGATTCTTGTTTCAGCCTCGGCTCCATCTGGGACACCAAACCAGCCTTTAAATCCGAAAAGCTTCCTGTTCCGCGACACAGTCATGTCACTCGGTGTTAATGTCGATATTCTCGAGGATCAGAGAAAAGTCTCTGTGATCATTGAGCCGACCGAAAAACAGACGAAAAAGGTGAGGAAATGACGTCCAGCCAAATTGGTCATTTTTTTTGTTTTGAAGTCCACGACAGCGCGTTTCCCCAACAATTTTCAAAAAAATGTATGTCTATATGTTTTTGCAGGGAGACCTGCTAACGTTGGTGCCGAAACGAACCCGCAGTGCGGTATCAATGAGAGCTGATGACACTGATCGCTGGGGACAAGAAGTCATTGACGAGAAGGAGGATTATGTTGTTATGCTTCGCGATCCAACTGTCAAAGTAAATTTGTCTTATTTCCCTCTCTCTAGAATTATTAGAATTGCTGGTCCCATAGCAACCATGACGTATACACCGATTTCAAATTACAAAATTTTATGATGCATGACTTCAATGCGCACTCGCGCGTGAATTCACCCCTTACACACACACTTCATCTGCAATTCTGAAAAATTGAATGAAATTTGTGTTCAACGCCAATATTCAGAATGAACTACTGGATCGTCTCAATACATTTCGCCGAAATCGCGAGCTATGCGATTGTGTTCTCTTCGTTAGGTATGCGATGAATTCCTTAATATCAATCCAATAATTTTTTTATTTTAGAGAACGCGAGATTTATGCTCATAAGGTTGTGCTTGCTGCCGTTTCTCCGGCTCTTTTTGATATGTTCAACGCAGATGGAGAAGAGAGAACCCAAGAAGGTATGAAAATTCATCTTATCAATTTGAATTTTCAAATTTTTTAAAAACTAATCAAACGTTTAATTCATGCGTATTAGTATGGTTTAACTGATAAGCGGAATTTGAAACTTCGCGATAGCGGCAGCATCCAAATTTGCAGAGAAATCGAATGGTTCGAGTCCAACCAACGGCACCAACGGATATTCAAACGGAGTTAATCAAAAAACAGCGCTATCCTATTACGAGTTTGCTCAAACCGATTTCGAATGCTTCAACGCATTGGTCAATTTTGCCTACACTGCTTAGTAAGTGTTCATTTGATTCTCATCGTCGTATTCACGTGGGGGGTTTGCGGCCTGGCCCTGCAGACGCAATGTGATAAGATAAGCCGAACACATGTTGTCGTTGAATGAAAACGAAATACAAAAATGGGTTTGCAAAAATTTTGTGTTGAACATTGATGGATGAACGAATCAAATACCGAATTTGGTTTAGCCTCGAGATCAATTCGCGCAAGGTTGCTGAACTCTACAAGACCGCATTTGCTCTTCAAATGTCGCCCGTGATTCGCGCGTGCGCCACATTCCTTGCCGACAATCTTCAAATCAGCAATTGCATCGGTAGATGAACTTAAACACCAAAAACCAAATCATCAATCATATTGCAGGAATTCGCCGACAAGCCAATTTTCAAAATGATTCCTATCTGATGAACAAGGTTGATAATTTCATTCAAGAAAATTTCGAAGGAGTGGTGAATGAGAGCAAAGAATTTACTCAACTGCCTGTCATTCAAGTATTAAGACAAATCCGATGACGTCAAATTATTGTAATTCAACATTCCAGACAAGAATCATCATTCCTGTGGAGGATGCTCGAATTTCAAACCATGCGCATAACAATGGAGGGCTCGCTGAGATGGCTTTGGCGTATTTCCAAAATATGCCGCATGATAGGGCTGAACTCTCCATCGACTTGCTCACATGCAAAGTATGCATTAGTTTACGAGGGTCATATTTATACATATATATATATATATTTCAAAATTTCAGACGCATATTCTTTACTTGGAAGAGGACCATTTGGCAGATTGTTCGGAGATGGATGAGCGCTCATCCGTGGGAAGTTGCGACATCATTCAAGATTATAAGAAGTCTGGAAAGGATCGCAAGGATGTCGCAAAGGCGATGTCGGGCCAAGAGCCGATCACAAATCCGGCGATTTCTCATCGTGTAAATGGCGCTGTGGCTGTTCGGTTGAATGCATCAAGAATGAATAACATGAGATCTTCCAATGAGAGTTTGGAATCTGCTGGCACCAATGATTCTGATCCTCAGGAGACGATTGAAACTCTTCTCATCGCAACTCATCGCACTGCTCGTAAGTATTCGATTAATTACTCACATATAATGCAAACATTCAGCTCAATACTGGGTCGCTTTGGTTGTTTTGTATCGCCGTTTGTGCGTGTTGAGCCTCCAGCTCACCGATGACGAAGAACTTTTGCGCACCAAGCGTGAGAACTACCCAGTCGACGTTCAGAAAGCCGCTCTCCTTTCTCGTCTCATATCTTGCACTGGAAGACAACAAAGCCCATTGGCAAACATGAGTGCTCCAAGATGTTCGATTGGCGCCTCGTTTGTCGGAGGAAAAATTATTGTCTGCGGTGGATATGATCGTGGAGAATGCTTGAATAGCGTTGAGGAATATGATGTGATCACCGGACAGTGGCGGGAAGTCAAAAATATGAAGACCGAGCGTGGACGTTTCGATTGTGCTGTGAGCGGCGGAAAGGTTTACGCGATTGCTGGAAGTAATGGAAACATCGACTTGAAATCGGCGGAAGTGTATGATCCAAAAGCCAACACTTGGACAGATCTGCCAAGTTTGAAAATGGCTCGCTGTCATAATGGTTGTGCATCGTTGGAGAACTACGTCTACTGCATCGCAGGGTGTTGCGATCAAACAGTTCTTAAGGATTGCGAACGGTTCAATGTGAGCACTCAAGAATGGGAAACAATGGCTCCTTTGGACACTGCACGCTATCAAGCGGGAGTTTGTACATGGCGCGGAATGATCATTGCATGTGGTGGATGTGATAGGTAACTAAAGTGCTAGTATTCTGAATTCTATATACTATCTAGATGGTCTTGCATTGATTCCGTGGAGGCCTACGATCCCAAAACGAATACTTGGCGCTACCTTGCAAAGTTGCGCCAAGCTCGTCGCGGATGCGCCGTCGCCGTGGTTCGTGAGACACTCTACGTGATCGGAGGACACGATGGAACGCAATCGTTGAATTCCGTCGAGATTCTTGACAACCCTTCGTCAAACTGGCGTCCAGGCCCGCCACTAACCACTCCAAGAGCTAACACTCATGCGGTGGTTACTGCTGGAAATGTGATTTATGCTGTCGGTGGTTTTGATGGAAATCAGTTCTTGGACACCATTGAGTTATTGGAGAGTGGTATAACATGAAATTATCTCGAAAATTATTTTGATCTTAATCATTAAAGAGCAAATTGGCTGGAGAAATTGGCAGCAGCGTAACAATGCTCTTGAAGAAGAGGAAGAGGAGGCCGTAATCAATGAGCTTCAATCTGATGACCTTGCAGCCGACTCGAACTCCGTTGCATCATCTCTTTAATGTGTAAATAGTTGGTATTGCGGTTGATGGGAAAATCGACTATTTAAATCATAAATAAAAAGAAAAAAATCATATAAAAATTCCTTTTCCCATCAATTGCAACATGTTTCTCGTTATTTTTAAACCAATCTTCAACATTTGTTTTATTTGTTATCTTCCTCTATTTTCTACAAAAAACACTTCTCGAAGCATCAGATGTCTACAAATTGAGACGCGTACCTTCTTGTGATTCACATCAATATTTTCCTCTGCGAATATCATTTGTTAAAAATGACATATTCTATTATTAAGTTATTCATTGCCACTTTCTCTCACTCTCTTATTTGTTTTTTTTTTTATTTGTATATTCGCGTCCTTGGAATTCTATCTAGCGTCAGGAAAAAATCTACATTTTGAGATTCAATATTTGAATAAAAGACTTGTAGTAGTGATTTGAACATTTAATGTTTTGCAGATTGCCCAATCATTAAAACGAATGAAAATGCCGTTCAAAAAAATTGATTTTTTAATTTTTCACTGTCTCATGAGATTTTGCAGCCAATTATGGGCTATTGTTGAAAGGGGGTGAATTATTCTAAAAACAGTTTGATTAAATATAAAAAATAGGTATTGAACACTTTTATTACATCGAATATCATATAAATTTTAATGTCATAATTTGAACAAAGCACAACAAATATACACAATTTGGATTTTGCATGAGTTTTTTATTATACAAAATTATGCGGGGTGCGATGTTGAAGGCTTATCACATTTTTGAGAATGACTAACGCTTTTTCTTTCTTTCTTTGGTTTCTTTTGGGTGTTGATGGTGATTGTAATGGATGCGGGAATAGCGCGAATTTCTGTGGATCTATCAATCGCCACTTTGATCGTTATTCCATTCAGTAGATAATTATTCATCTATAATTAGAAATTGAATGCTCAACGATTTCATATTGAAATTCACCTTAACAACACCATGTTCGGCATCTCGACGTGAAAAACATACAATTGATGCGCTTCTACAATGAGTCATTTTGAAACCATCAGATTTTAAACTGAAATCACCTTTGCTTCGAATCCACTGTTATAGTTTTACAATTGATGTCAGCATGAGATTTGAAGACTTTTCGAAGTTTATCTTCAGTTAAGTCGATTCCACGAACAATGAGCGAACACGATTTGGCAGAAGAATCTAAAAATAGCCAATTAATATGAAATAGTTGAAGAATTTCCCGTTAAATATGACATGAATTATTTTATTGTCAAAATTTGCATTAATACTGACCTTTGGGAGTTGATGTAGAGGCTATTGACGTTGTTGGGATTGACGTTGAAGGCTCCGCAGGATCATCAAGAATTTCCCCATCCTCCAGTTCTTCGTGAGACATTTTTTCAGTTAATACAGCTGATTTCTTTTCAAAAGATGGTAACTTCGATCGTTTTTTTGGCAACCATTCCTCTCCATCTAAAAATTTTGGCAATTTTCATAAAACATAATGCTGTAAAATAGAAGTACCGTGCGATTTTCTAGGTTTCACCCTCTCACTAATTGAACCTTCTGTTACTCGATTGCCACAAAGTTTTCTTTTCTGTTATTTAATTTAATTAAGGAAATATGCAAAAAAAACTTACAATCTTACAGCATTGCTCATAAATGCGCAAATAGTTTTTCTCCTGAGCGGTTAGCGGGATTGTTAGCGGAAAAACCATAATATCTCGGCTCCTGAATATAACTTCTGTTAAAAATTTAAAAAAAATCAAACCGCAAAAGTAATTTTTTTAAGTTTTCAGAAAAATTTAATGAATTCCTACAGCGTTTACAATTTCGTTTTGAAAATTTCATAATATTTATTTTTTTTAGAATTATAGATAGAAAAAAAATTACTACAAAATGGAGTTGTTCTATAGAAAGCAGAGCATTGTGAGAAATAATATTCAAAATAAAAAGCCTCTAAATGCAACCACGCTCTATTGCTAAAAAGGACGCTTGGAACGCTTGTTTTTGAATTAAATCTTATTTTAGGCCAATAATTTATGATTATGTTTTCTTCAATATTCTTTTCACTTTTCCCTTATCATTCAATACATTTTCATGAATAATTGCATAGAAATTTTTGTGGACGGTTTTGTATCCTGTCCGATGACAGATTTCTCTTTTGTCATGAATTTTCGCCCAATTTACATTTTAATTCCTATTCTCCCGTCAATCTCAATTGCGGGTGACAAATCTCCAATTTTATCTGTAGAGTTTTGTGTCAGGTGCTAATATCCAAAAAAAAGGAATTATGTAAGTTTTCTCAATCATTTTAATTTCATAATTTTCCTAATTTTCAGATTGATGATAACATTCCGTTGATTTGTGAAAATGAATTCAGCATCCATCAAGAATGAAAATGTTATAATTAATTAAATTTGTTATTTTACCAGTTAGTAAAAAAAATTATAAATATTTGTTAAATCATTATAATGTTTCAATTCTATAAAATGGAAAAATATGTCATTAATGGCAAAAGGAATGTTTTTAATTACCTGATTTAATTACCCAATTTTGAGGTCTTCCTTCTACCACTAGTCGATAAATTTGGTGCATCGACTGGGAATCAGAAGAACACAACGATAAAAACCATCACGAAAAAACCGGAGCAAAAACACGAACCTCAACCGGACTCATCATCCGAAGGATTGCCATTGAGTACACCCGGGATGGAGACGATTTGAATTGGGTGTTCTGCTACAGACCACATTTTTCGGACAAATGCTTTGAAATCACAAATGTCAAGGAACGAGAACGTCATCTGGAAAAAACAGATCGATGCAAACGATGCGTGAAGCGGAACCACCGAGGAACCTGCCATTCAAAATGCTACTACTGCTCAACCCACGTAAGGATTGAAGCAGCGAAGACACACCATACGGCCATATGTCGACTCCTCAATGCCACCATTCTTGAGAGGAAGTGTCATTAATGACAACAGGAACCTAATGTAAATTCCATGACCAACCATTTCCCCGTCATCACAATTTAATATATGAGACACGTTATTAGGCTTAATAAACGATTATTAAATTGTACCCCCAAAACCACCCACCACACAACATTTAAACTTCATATTGCATGTGTTTTTCCATTTTTACAATAAAGGTTTAATTACCCAAGTTCGAGGTCTTCCTTCTTGTCGATAAAAAATGTCCGAAATTATTGTTGGAATGGTATTCAAGTTTCACAGATAAAAGAAAAATATTGTACTGTCAAGAACGCAAATGGTTTGAAATTTTATAACGTGCTCATTTTTTATGTTACCATTTAAAAGGGCTTGCAAAACAATTAAACTCATCGACATGAAAAAATTTTCTCATGTCAATTTATAAAAGAAATCTTCCATGACAGCTCTAATTCAAATAAAGGTGTTAAAGTAGTATTAAAACATTGAAAATAATTCTGAACATTATCTTTAGCTCCAGTCGCGCCAAGTTAAAATGAGGCAAATGATTCTCCGAATCATTGCACACTACTCAATTTCAACAAAAAAATGTTCTACGAGTTTCTCTTGTATCACAATAGCAATTCCGAATTGTGAAAGCAAAATGACTAACGAATGAATTAAATAGGTGGTATAACATACCCGAATACCACGGAATATAACATAGCGCGGATTGATTTGCACTCATGGAGAAATATTGCTCCCATAGAGAGTTCGTTTAGTGCGAAATAAATCACAAAGCAATGATGAGTTTTATGCAATTATTTGGTAGTTTAAACATTTTTATCATCACACAATCTGTAATTTCTCGGTCAAACAGATAAACTTATTGTATTGCGTTGTATATATGATAAACAATATTGGACAATATGAGGAACGGAAAAATTTGGTTTTACATTGTAATGAATACGTCTTGGCTTGCTACAGTTTGTTTCTACATATGTATTTATATAATGAAACCAATTTGCGTATGATGAGTGCTATTCAACTACATATGAAAATCAAGATCATTAGTGCAGGTGTGAAATGAACAATCTGCAAATGGTCGCAGGATTTCACCGGGTGGCTTCATTTCAATCAATGTCAAAAACTTCTCTTTTGCTTTTTCGCGGGCCTCCTAAAACATATCATGAATAAATAAGTAAAAAGTTGCTTACAGAATCGTCCGAATCGAGTTCATCATAAATCATCTTTTCGACATAGCTGGTTTCTCCCATTGGAATTTTGGTGTGAAGCGAATAAAGCGCGTCGATAGCAAAGAAATTAAATTTTGACATCACCGGATCAATTGCGAACCAAGCAAATTTAGCGAATTGCTCATTGAATCCACTTCGGTTGATCAGTTTCATATGGGTTCGAGTCAACACTCTTGCGACATGATTTTCATCGCAAAATTGTATCAAGCTGATGCCTATTCGGAAGCGACACAAAAGAACACCCCAGCTGTCATCAGTTTTAGGCATTTTTTTCGGATTCACCGCCTAAATCAAAATTTTTAAAATAGTCTAAAAATTGAACAGAAATACCTTTATAACATCACGAATCCAACTGGTTTTGTTTCGATCTATTCGTTCGGAATGATAGAACATATATATTTTGTTTATCCAAATCAGACATTGAGACACTATTCTGAGACGAGATTCGCTGAGTCTGAAAATTTCTTGATTTCGCGTTTGATGAGCAAATCATTGAATACTCTTGATTTGAATGTTGCGGGCTTCCTTGAGCAACTGTTTCAGTAATGAGATCGATGATCTTGTTAACGATTGAAAAAATTTGGACTAAAAATGAATGCTGATTCAATTTTCAACATTCAAATACACGCGTACCATTATCCAATATTCTTACTGGTCTTTCTGTGGTCCTATCAAAAAGAATTTCCGGGAGTAGATCGGCATAGCTTTGCATGACGCCTGTCGTTATGGCAACTTGAGTTCTTCTCTCTTTCAACATTTCCAGAACATCGACGAGTAATTGATAATTATAATCATTGAATTTACTGGTGAATGATAAAATGCGCTAAATATTATATTTTATCTATTTTGATTTAAATTTTTTTATCTGTTTTGATTTAAATGGTGGATTTTTGAAATCACAAGCACATCCAAATTCGAATTTGTTGCTCTTTTTGTGAACATACCGCACATATTTGTCGAAGTGCATTGTCAACGAAATGGATATTGATTGTTTTGATCGAATTAATAGAATTCGATAATTCAGTAAGCATCGCTTCTTTTTCCGATGAGTTGACGATAGATTCCATGTCGTTTTGAATTAGTTTTAGTGGGGAACAATTTCTTGCCAAACTGTATTTGCCTTAGTTGGTCAGCTAGCTGGAAATAAAACGGGGTTCAGAAATTTCAAACCGATGATATTTAAATTTTGGAATAATTTTTAAAGAGTGAATATTGATTTTCACATGAAGGGACGCGCGCTCTATCGCACATTTATTCAAATCCGGCTCACGCGCTAATTCAAATAAGGCGTTTAAATTGAGGTTGCTTTGGGCAAAAAAAAAGATTTGAAAATCGACACTGCCACAAATACACTTCACCTATTTCTGTTGTATAATAATTTAAAAAATTTACATTGTACAATGCCGAACAATAATTTTTTTCTTTTCCAAAGGAAAAAAATGTAGATAAATTGATAAAAAAGAAGAGAAGCTTAAAAATCGGTGTCGATTAGTACATTCTCTGAAGCATTCAGCAATCTTTAATATTGATTTATATTTTATCATTAGAACCTGATAATTCTCATCAAATCATTCTTGATGCTTCTTCTCTTGCAAATGAAAAAAATTAGAATCAATTATTCTGTAATTAATTATAAAATATTGTGTGAAATTGTAGTGTTATTTGATACCACGTAAAATTATTGAAACACTTAACTTTAAAATATTTTTAAATTTCATTTAAGATTTTGCAAAATATTGAATAAATTCTAAATTATCTCAATTTTTTGGAAATTTGAAATTAATGAAATAAATATTAATATAATATAGAGACACATTTTTCTCTCAAGGAATCTCAAAATAATTTAATTTGATTTGCTGGAGTTTTAAATGAGCATTTTTGAGGTTTTCGTTTTAATTGTCGAATGTTTTAAAAAATCTGCAAAACATCCATCGGATTTGTAATCGTTTTAACTGATTACCTCAATCAACCCATGTGGCAATAAGTATGTATAGCTCATTAGGAACCGATATCGCTGTCGTTATTTTTCATAAATATGAGACATGTCCTTGGGTATAATTGGCAAGTAGCATCATTTGTGTTAGCGTCATATTTACCTCATTAGCCAAATCTTTTCAGAAAAATAAATTACATTTTTTTATTTTACCCTATCACATTCTTGTTAGAAGAAATGCCTTTTTTCATGTGACAGAATTTTCATCTGAGATGTATTTCAGTTTTGCTCTCAATTTTTAATTTCGAATGATAGAACCTTGCAGCAACGGGAATTGATTAAACGTCCAAATTAACCAAAATATCAAAAAATAATTGGAAGCAACAATTTTTTTTTGAAAGATAACAATCGCTATATTGGCTTTTATTAATATTTTCACTAACGAACCAGCCATACGCCAGAGTCTATCAAATGATGAGAATTTACATTCCTTTTTCGGAATTCGCATGACCTTGTCAAACTTGGCACTTTCGGGTTAATGAAATTTCGCAGTTTCTTCAAGGCTAAGCCGAACAAATATGTTCTCATTTTATTTTTTTCCTTCACATCGACAGTATTAATTATCTACATTTTACCTAGTACTCCACTTTTCATTGATGATCGATGATTAGTTTTCTTATTCAAATTGATGAAAATCGCTACAACAAGTTTTTGCATAATTCTCTTGTCTCCAAAATTGATATTTTTTAAAGCTTCTAACAATCGATACAAAAAACCAGAAGCGATATCTACAATCTGAACACCCAGTGTTCAATAGCCTTGAACTTTCTCTTTCGAAATTTACAACGTCTTCAATTCGCTGCCGTGTTACGGCGATGGAGCATGTGGCAGACATGCACTCGCATCTCATTGGAGCGCCCTTGACGCATTGGACAAAATATTGGAACAGATTTCTTACATGATTGTCCTTTACAAGCAGTGTCCCGACAGTGTCCTCGTAGAATTATCTGCCCTCGGGTAAAAAATTCTTCGAACATAAAAAAATGTCGTTATTGTTTTACACAGTCTGTCCGACTAAATCAGACATGATTTTCTTCATTTCAGCGCGTCTACAACAAAAAATTGCCGTTTGAAGTTTTCTACTATGGTTCCTGATCCGAATCAATACCCAGACAACGAGCGGAAGATCAACGAAGAGGTTTGGGATTTCAAATTGATCCATACAATGATTTACATTTCTGATTCAGCCTCAAAACGAAAATGATTTGGAGGAAGCTCGACAACGGGTAACCCAGCAAATGATTTAAACCAAACCAAATATTTCTATTTTAGGAAAGAAACCTTCGTAACGAGCATTTTCGGAGACACCTTCAAACTGGAGCTGCGTATACTGAAGTTCTCGATGCGACAACGAATGTGCTCACTAGAACTCTCGAGGAAGCGAAAACACGTCCGCTCACTGAGGCAAAACTTCAGAAATAAAAAAACTAATTCAAAGAGGTTTTAGGCTGATTTTCGTCTCCTCCAGGAAAACATAGAGTCTGTTGGACGGGCTCTTGCCGCCTATCAATCGACTTCGACCAATATTCTCAACTTCGTGGCAAGATATCAATAAAAATTTACGCCAGCGGCCAAATAAATCTTCTCATTATTGACAATTTGATTAGATTTTTGTCCCCAAAGCTTCTGAAAAAAAATGTGAAAATAAATTATTAATTATTGAAACTAATGTATTTCTCAGATAGATGAGGATCTACATAGCTTTTGCGTTAAAATGAATCAGTAATTTGATTACAAAAGATAAATTTTAAAAATGATTTTAATTGAAATTAGCAAGGTTTGCAAATTTTGTAAATTATCATCCAAAATAAAAAAATGACTGTATTATAAAATTAAATATTACGGTAGTTATTAATTTCATTGTTTAGTATATCTATATGAGACCATTTTGAACGTTGAATTTTTGAATTTCTCATGTTTTTCGATTAATTTTCGAATTTTATTCTTCAATGAACATCAATTTTGGGTTTTGATTAAAAAATAATTATAATGCCAAAAATATTTGCAGACTGTTCCTTAATTATCGCTCTCGTTTGTACGTTGATTGTTAGCTTATAGGAATTTTATCATTTTGAAGTGCAAAAATCCTTTCATTCTTCATTATGATATGTATTTCCAATATTCGAAGGAAGCAGGCAAGCCATTAGTTGAAGGCATCTGAAAAATGTAATTATGATATCGAATATTAGGCATGTTTTTCACATTAAAATTGATTGTTGTGATTCCTATTAATACCTTTAACCAGCAAGGTTTTAAGATTCTCCGCTACCTGAACTTTAAAATGCTTATTTTTGTGCAAAATGCAAACCTTTGAAGTTATCATTATAAGGCAATTAATAAAACACAAAGAAAAAAAAATATTTACACCATTTTGAACTAGTCGAAATATTCGCTGGTGAAAAAATAAACAAATTGCGGAGCGCCGCCGTTGTGCATTTATGCTAAATCTAGGGCAACTGTACATTAAAGAAATAACCAGCTTTAAGTAAGTTCTTTAAGAGCTACAACTACTAAAAACGGAACAAACAATAACTGAAATGCTTAAATGATGATTGTTTTTCCGCCGGTTGCATTAAAAAAAACCCAACTCCGTGATCCCGTATGCTTCGCATAGATATGCTTAGCATAGATCCCGTATGCTTCGCGTGTCGTAAAATGTCGACTGCAGGGCGCTTATAAAAAGCTAGTGCACATTTAAATTGTTTGAGATAGTTACATGAGGGATACAAAATTCCTTGGTTCGAACTTGGTTCGCCAAAGCAGAACAGCCTATTGTTGTCAAATTATCTCCATCCCTACGAAGTTAATATTTTCAATTAATTTAACTCGTTGTTGTTTTAAAAAATGAACATGGTCATGCAATCATTTTCTTTTCGACGTGATATGCCTAGAAAACATGCCACCAACTACATTAATGTGCATACAAGAACATTTTCAATTCGCGCAAAGTTCAATATTATAAATGCGCTTAATAATTTTTGAGCGTCTTGTACAAAATATTATCCTTTTCACAAATCCTTTCTAATTATTTTAATTATAACATTTTTTCCATCTTCCAAGTAAAGCTTTTACCCACATATTATTTCCATATCACTGATATTTTCCTTCGCAAATGATAATAATTAAAAATGTGTCTCTACTATTATTTTTCGATAAGAATTTGAACCATCAAAAATGTTTTTAACTCTATTTTTAACTCTATCATAAAATTCAACCAAAATTTATAAAAGCACGCAATTTTTGCTAAAAAAAAGGTTTATTCATGCGATTTGCAATGGTTAACATAGACAGCGGCGAGTGCCGTAAAATGTCCGCTGCTGCATTAAGGGAGGCTTTATAAGCGTAGCGCACCTCTAACGCGTTTGGGGTAACAACATCAGGGATACTACGTTTTCTCAAGCATAACCTGTCCTAATTACCACCGAATATCAGCTTCATCCCTATGAAGTTACCCTTTTCGATTTTTTGGATAATCTTTCTAAGCAGACGCAGAAAAGAAAGTTTGAGAATTCAATCTTTTTCACAACTTTATTGAAAAGAAATAATAGTCGCCAAAACGCATTCTAATTTAGAAAACAATATAAAAGGGTGACGCTATGGGAATTGAATTTGCACCCGGTATTTTTCGTTCGAATTTAAAAGCTTGAATACATGTTTGAGTTATTTTTGCATTCCACATCAGTTCACCCCAACACAGTATCATCTCGCGCGGTATATATATCCACCTTCAGCAATGTGGCCGACACTTCACTGTTTTCGCCACTGTCTATGTTTATCGTGATGAAACGCTTTCGGCAATTCAATGAGATGTGACCTTTCCTTTTTTGCTTTATGAACGATTCATGTTGGATGTCGAATATTTTGAAAATTTTCACAAATTGCTCTGTTCTGTCAAAAACTCATATTGAATTATTTTTTTCAGTCCTCCATTTAAAATTTAAAGATTTGGTATTGCTTAGTTATTCCAGAACAATCTAATCAAAACTTTATCCGAAATTCGTGACATATTTTGAATTGCGATATGGCTGAGCTTCTAAAACGTCGAGAGGCTTATGTTATGTAAAACAAAAATTTCTAAAGCCATATGCAAAAAATTCAAAAACTGTTTTGATCTTCTTATAACGAGTTTTTTTTTAAAAACTTTTTTTTTTTTCAAAATCTACTTAGTTTCTGCTACTACCTTCAATAAATTTTAGTGCTCAATAAAAGTAAAATATTCACTTGAAATGTGAGTACCATAAGTATTACAAACGAAATGGTTTCGCGATTATTTTTCGTCCATTTTGCTAAATATTGACTGAATGCTAAATATTGACCGTCACAATCAGTTACAATATTTGATTGATCATTTTAGAAATCAATAAATTTTGACCGATTTTATTACAAAAGGGCTATATATGGCCGAGAAAAATATTAAATTCATCATAAAAAATCAATTGTCGTTTCTCACTCATTTCACCTTTAACAGATGATTAAAAGAATAAAACTGGAAGAATAAAACTGTTCTCAAAAAAACTGAAATATGGGTTAAAACTAATTTTAAAATGCGATATATGAATTAACAAATGAATGGAATTCATACTTTTCAACAGTGATAAAATGATAAAAAAATTCTTATCAGAATTCCACTTTTTTAAAGAAATTGAAGACTTGAAGGTTTTCGTATTTCAAAACATTATCAACATTGAGGAGAATCAGAGAAAAAGACAGATTATTATCGATTGATGAGTCACGATTTTTTGGACTAATTAGGCGAAAATTGGAAAAATTTCGAATTTTTGAAAATATGTCAGAAATTGCATCACACCGAGAGCATTCTGAAAATCAAATCCATTTTTAATAAGACACATCCGTTACCGAGAAAAATCAAAAAATTTAAAACCTCGCAGGGCGGAAAATTTTTGACAGGGCGAAAAGTTTGCGCCTTTGCCAGGCAGCATGCGTCGACAAAAAAAGTAGTTTATATTTTTTGTTAAAATTTCATCTCAAAAATAAAATGTTATTATTTTTCCACTATCATTTCCGTCTAAATCAATCTTTTTACGTAATAATTTGAAAACTGATATTTAAAAGTTTGCATCACATCAGCAAAAGGGTGATGGCAAGGGGTAATAGTTGATATTTTGGGTTGAAAGATGGTAAGTACATTGAAAGTTTTAATTCTGGGCTCTTGGTTTTCAGTTTTTTCCGACTTCCCACCACCCCGAAAACGAGCGCTGAGCGCCGCGTTTATATAACCCTTTCAAGTGAGGTGTCGGACGTTTTGCGGGATTCGCCGCCAACTATTTTTTGTACAGTTCAGAAAAATTGCATGATACAGAGAAGCAGAGGAAGCCGCAAATTTCGTAATGGTGTTCGTCGACACTTGTTAAAAAAATGTTGAATCGTTCATTTATTGGAATTTTCATCAAATTTAAACATCAAATTTGGGGAAATGAATACCGATGAATGTAGCAGGATTTCTGTAAAGTCTGAAAATATAAAATGCAGAAATTATTTCTTTAATATGAAATTTGCAGTGTAGACTCTAAAATCGACAGCTAAAATATTTCAAAAACAATTTTTACACTTTATCGGCAGCGAAACTTCCAATCTCTTCGTTGAGATTATATCTTGCGCAAATGATTTTATCTTTTCACTTTCTACGTTTTTTTTTCCATTAATTTATAGCTAACGTAAAAAATGATGGGGATTTAGAAAAATGGAAAAAATGCATGCGAAAAAAACACTACTTTGGTTAGTTTTTTTTACCTTTTTAAAGCATCATTTATCGAATCCACTAAAAATTTCCTTCTTTGATTTTTTCAAAAAAAAATTGCAAAAGGGTGAAACCAGGGAGATAAGGTTATTATTCAAATTAATGCATCCCAACCAATAAGGCTGTGGATTACAGCAGCCAAGACATCTCACATCTTTCCACCCCAGCCTTCCATAGCAACGGAGTGATATATATACTCCCTTTTTGGTTGTGGCTGACAGCATCCGGGTTTCGCCATCGTCTAGGAAATGCACACGAAACAAATAAGTCGTGTACTATGAGCGAGAAGCATTGAGTGAATGTGCGACGGCGTGCAGTGATATGAATAACACTCGCGAGAGATTTGGTTTACATCGACTAATGAGAATTTTCTATTTTTAAGTCTTTTATTTCAAGTTTAAGAAAATGCCAAGCATCTAAGAAAATGAATGAAAATTGAATTTTTTTTTTCAGTATTGTTTTTTATTTTTCGCGCAATCTTCGATAAATATCTGAAATAAAGGATTATTTCCTTAATATTTTATTATACGGCATCAAAAAGTCCGATAACATCTCAGCTATTGCGTAGCTCTCTGTGGCAAGATGCATCAAGTTCAATTTGATGCCAATCGTGCAAAATGTATTACGCCAGTATGCCAATGAATACCGACGGTTGAAGATATTGCTAGTGATTACTGTTTTTTAGGTTTGACCTATCGGGAAAGCGTATGCTCTGTTCAGGCGTATCGTATTACAAAATGTATTGCAGCATCATAAACTCGGGCAGATGGAATTGTGAATATTCTTTCTGATGGTGGATAACATAAATAATCATAATAGTCATCTGTATTCAATATTTTATTTCTTGAATTTCAAACTAAAAAATTGTTTTTCATTTAAAAGATTTGAATGTTCTTGTTCAAAAAAAATGTTATTCATAATTAGCATTTTGATTCGGCTAACAAACATTTTCAAATTCATCGTCTTCCTAAATGTTGTGTACATTCATTAGCTCCGCTATAATAAAAAAAAAAAGTCGTTCTTTCCCGTGTTCTTTCGACACATGTTGGTCGGCATTTCACCATCAACCACAAATCATTCGCACGAAGAGCTATTTTCTCTCCCAGGAGCACTAACTATGTTTAAATGATCATTTTTCAAACTTTTTAAAGTTTTCATAATAATTTTTTTTCCTTATTTTTGTTTACTGTTTTTAAGCTCCCTTTACATTCAAGATTATATTGCACGGTTATGGGATCTATGAAAAAATTAAAAAAAAAAATCACAATTTTTCATGAAAAGGAATTGTTTTGAAAAACGGTTGTTTTAAATTTGCGCCACCGCGCATAAAGCCTGCGTGGGTCTCGGCGCGACGCGCGCGAGAAATACGATAGCAGTTGTTGTTCCGTTATTAAAACATCATATTTAAAGCAATTTTCGCCAATTATTACTTGTCTTTCAATCATGTCATTGCATAATAATTATTTTCAGAATTCTTATATCAGTTCATTATGCCTGCACAAGGAACAGCAAAAACCAATAGTCAAAACCAAGAAAATTCGCTGTTTCTGTTTAAAGGCAAGTATTATGAGTATGAGGTCAATTTGGGGAATTTCGACGATAACGAGTGGCAACAATTCAGCAGTAGGGACACTGTTGATTTCGGAGGGATGATTAATCGTAAGTTTAAAAAAATTATAACTTGTTTATGCTTCATTTCAAGGCAGAGAACCGATCGGATTCTTCGAGTTCATCATCTCATCTGAAATTGTTCCTGATTTGATAGGCAAAAACGGTGTTTTTTTGAAGGTATTTTAACTTTTTTTGTATTTTCCTCGAATTCTCATTAATGCAGAAATTGATCGATCGCCAACAAATTCGTGTTTGCTTCGAGAAGCTGAATAACCCACGCTACCCTAATTCGACATTGTGTCATATTAGAGGACCAGATGATCTTATTCATGAGTTTCTGCAAAGAGTTCGCCGATTCATGCCAATAACTAGAAATGAGATGACGACTTTCGTTATTTCGCAAGTTATTAGGCCAACATCTAAATATCAAGTGTGCAATAAATCATTTGGTTTGATACAAGTAACAATTTTTCTCACACAAATAATGCACTCAATTAAATTTTCAGCAAGATTTGTTGCATCAGTACTGGTTTGATGGCGTTGTCACATATTTCATGGGCCCATATGACTTCTGCATTCAGAATCGAAGCCCAAGTGGATCGTACGAGGAATTTTTGAAATTGGAGATTCGATTGTGTCATTTTTATCGAAAACATAAGAATTTCCCGACACTTCCGGCTAAGAATTGCGAAGGTATGATATTTTTTGACAAAAATTTGTCTGGTTTGGAGGAGCTCGTATTGTCGACGTCGCGCTACTTTGGAAAATTTGCTGACTATCAAAAAATTCAAAAAGTGGTCTTGGCGCGCGATGTACGCCCTAAAGCTATCCATATGCATAGACCCGTAAATCGACACTTTTACTTTTGCGCCAAGACCACTGCCATTCTTTCTTTTTGGTAGTTGGCCAATTTTCCGCAGTCGCGCGACGCCGACAATAGTAAATCTGAGCGAAACCCATAAATAAACAAAAATGACGATATCATCAGCTGGAGACAACGAAGGGCCACTCGAATTAATTATTTGTCAGTTGGTTTTCCATCACGGTGCTAACAATGTACTGAAAAATCTATACCAATAAATAAACAGAATGTATTGAATTGACATCAGCGAGTTTCAGGTATGATGGCAGTGGTTTTCGAAAATCGCAAATGGGTGCGTTGTTTGGTAACAAAACACTACCCGAACACTGATTTGGTCACAATCACTAAAGTGGACTATGGGGGAGAGTACAAAACTCATAGGTCCAAACTCAAATCGATTCGGTATGAGTTGACTAAAAATAACTACTCAAACACGATTTTCAGAACTGACTTTTCGCTTTTTCCGTGCCAGGCAATCAATGTGCGATTGGCGAATATTAGGCCAGGACCACGCTGGTGCCTGCAAGACGCATGCAATCTCATGGCGGCGTATTGCTATCTGAAGGAAGTCTGTGTTCGATGGGTGAGCCCGCTTAGTGCTCCAATCAAAGAAGTGGAGATGCTTGTACCAATTTTGAATGGAAATATCATCGAGGTAATATTTAATATTTGAAATTATTTCAATTATAGCAAACTCAATAAAGGTCTTTGAGGAGCGCGTTTAGAACGAGGACATGTATGCGCAAAAAGGGCAATAATTGCCATATATGGGATGAGATCATTAGTGACTGTCTCATTATGAAAAAATCATGCCAACTTGTCAAATTTTGCGTGTCATGTAGTCTTTTAATGTTTTGAATAGCATTGTGTTTAATTTTTGTTTTCATGTTTAAATATTTCTGTCCCAAAAATTAAAGCAAGGCAATTCATTCCCTTTTAAAACATCATTTTCTCCTGAATAATCTGCTAGAAATTATTGTTTTTATCTGAAAAATTGGAGGATATTCTTTAACACTTCGATTATTTCCTTTCAACATAAATCTATTTGTCTTGCTGAAGAAATTTAGCAAATTGGCGCAATTTTTGCAAAATAAAATAGGGTTTCGATTACACTTTAGGCTTATCAAAATTGATCTAAGAGCTATACTACTTTTCGTGTGAGTAAAGCTTCAGGTTGTATTACTTACATTATTAAAGGAACTATCGTTTTTTACAATCTAGTTGTAACTGTGATATTACTGAAGTAGGTTGTGCTCGTATTCAACAAATCGTTTTCAGAACTACTCATTCGACCGCATTCTTATTGATAGTGGTCTCGCTTCGTCGACCCGAATGTTTTCACCTACCGTAGACTTTGTTCAACTATAGAGATTGTTCTTTTGTAATATAGGTGTTTTGTAAATCTTTCTCAAATTGTTGTTAGTAATTATTAAGAATACACTCACTCCGGTTTGTCCCAATGCTTTTTGCTTTGCTGTAAATTTGGCAATCATGCATATCTATTTTTTTTTGCTGTTGGATTTTTCCATGAAAATATCACCGTAATTGTCGTCCCGGTATCCGTGAAGGTCTACATTTACCACGTAATACAGTTTTCTTAAAGTGAAGCAAATATAAATCAATTCATAAATAGAATATTTAGATCAAACGAATTACCATTGTAGTACCGAAAAAAAACATTTTTTTCAAAGCATTGTTGTTGGATTCGAAAACGCTTTAATTTTGAAATAATATAAAAGCAAAATATACAGGGTGTCATTTAAATTCCCGCACAAAAGTTTGACGTTATGAAGAGCTTCGCTAACGCACTTTTCGTGCACCAATATAATTTATTTTTGTTAAATAAGGTATATTCTACTTACTTTCCAAGTTTCACCTCAATCGGATGTGTTTCCGAGAAATGGCGAAGGCTAACATCCATCGCGCTTCCATTATCGAACTTCATAAGCAAAATGTGAGCCCGAGAGACATAATTCAACGCCTCAGTGTGCCTCGTAGAACGGTTTGCGACACCACCAAACGTTTCAAAGAGCTAAATACGACCAGTGACCGTCCCAGATAAGGAAGACTCGTCTCGGTAACCACTCGTCAGAAGATCAACGCTGCTAAATCGAGGATCAGGCGAAACCCGTACAGGAACATGAAAAAGATGACGTCAGATATGGGAATGAGCATCTACGCTATGGAACAAATCCTCAAAACGAAGCTTGGACTGACCCCATATCGTGTCCAAAAAGCGGCAATTCTATCTGCCGTCAGCAAGCAGAGACGCTTCAAAAAAGCAAAACGACTTCTTGCTCGCACGCGGTCTGGAGAACATCTCGTCACTGTCTTCTCCGACGAGAAGCTGTTCACTGTGGAGGCGGCATTCAACTCACAAAACAATCGAGTACTTGCCCAGACATCCCAGTAAGCTTCTGAGAAAGGCAGAACAATTCATCGAGCCTCACATCCTGCCAGTGTGATGATTTTCGGTGCCATCTGCTCAACCGGGAAGTGGCCCCTGGTTTTCGTGGATCCGGGGGTGAAAGTGAACAAAGAAGTCTACGTTCGGGACATTTTGGATAAGCATGTGATGCTTTGGGCCCAAACGCATTTCGGTGGGCAGAAATGGGTCTTTCAACAGGACGGAGCACCCGACCACACTGCCAAAACTACTCAGGAGTGGTGCCAGACCCATTTTCCCGACTTCATCAAGTCATCCGAATGGCCTGCTTGCTCCCCAGACCTGAACCCGCTTGACTTCTCCGTGTGGGGTCTTGCAGGAGAAGGTCAACGCAAAACCCCACTCAAATGTAGAGTCTCTGAAGAAAACATTACTGGCGGAATGAGACAATCTTTCCATCGAATACCTGCGTACCACAGTCGCATCATACCCGAAGCGTCTCCGTGAAGTCATAGCTGCGAAAGGAGGCCGAATCGAAAAGAGTTAATAGATAATTATTTGTTATACTATACATAAAAAATATTTTGAGTCTCGTTTGATTTGGACTTTTAGTCTCAGAAATATACGTCTTAAAAGTTGTGCGGGAACTTAAATGACACCCTGTAAAATCTCTTCTGTAATCCATTCGTTTGATATTGGGAATTCACCTTCACACTGAAAGTTTAAAAAAATGTATTATTTTTGAATAGTAGAATCATTTTTGATCTGCTAACACATTTCGCATTTTCTTTAAAAAAAAACTTATTATTGTTTCAATATTAGTATATTTTTTTAATATATATATGTTGAGGAATGCCATAAAAATATCATATACTTTTACCCCGAATAAAATCCTAGATTTCCGATCATATTCACTAAACTTCTCAAATTTGTCATTCATTCATTCTAATTGGGTGTTTTTGCCTTGAAAAAAAAAGAGTGAATTTTGAATAGGTCTTTTTTTGCGTTTTTTTTCACGTGGAATACCAATTTATTTCGGTCCCTAACATAGATAGCTTGTTATATGTTCTTTTCAATTCATAAATGTTTAATTTCTTGAAACATGTCTATTGTTTTTTTCTCGTTTCATTTTTTTTCAATTAATTTCCATACAAAAAAAAACATGTTTCCTTTTTAAACTTATTGGTCCCGAAAATGCACAAATCACCAAAAAAAACATTGACGAAATTGAAATTTACAAGAAATTCATACGTTTCACACTACACTTCCCTTTTTGGTGGGCATTTCAAAAATTGTTACCGATTCATTAAAAGAAAATGCAGCCAAGTGAAAAAAAAGAAACGACTGCCCACACATCGAAAGAAATGCAAACTTTCAAATCGTATTAAGCGAAGAAACGAAATAGTCCAAAAAGCAACCAATTTGGCTTAAATATTCTATTCTTTACTGAACAAATATGCATACTTAATATTCAATTTACTTATTCCGTTCATTTCTAATGTGCTCCTACTCAAAATGTCAGACATTCATTCATTTCATCTAATCAACTGGTCCTTTAATTAAAGTACATCTAACTAAAATTGTTGAAGAATTGAATATTGAGTTAGTTTTTATTTGTAATTAAAAATTGATCGTTCATTGATGCTCCTTAAATTTGAACTGCTGAACCATCTCAACAACGTTTGTCTAATTGAGCTCAAATTTGAGTTGAATCTGACAGATGAGAATGAGATGTAAACTTTTTAGGTTTTTTTGTTGTTGAATAATTTGGAATGTTTCTTGATAATTTGTTTTCAAATTCGTTTCTTTTTTAAATATTTCTTTTTAAAGAATTTTTGGATTTATCAATCAAAATTTTAATATGATCGTCTTTCACTATGACTAATATTTGTTATATGGTTTCCCTAAATGATTTTACTACAAAAATTATGACGCTACTGATGAGCTTCATTCATAATATATATTTGGCGAACAAGAACGGAAAACCACTCTGGTTCAGACAAACTATTGTTTGTTTTTACAAACTTTCATGGGAAACGAAAATTGACGAAATGGTACTACTTTTGGGAGCAATTTGGAATGCACTCATTCCTTATTTTCAATTATTACAGTGCCACAATGACAGGTGAACATTACATTCACTTTTGTTTCTTTCTTTGGTTTTCTTGGAGAGACCAACTCGGTTCCAGTCTCGCCCCGTGACTGATTTAATTTGATCGTACTTCGAGTACATATACGACGTCGAAGAAAAAAGAAGAAGAAACAGAAATATCCATACTCGGCATATTTTGGCGCATTTTTATTCGACTAGGCGAAGAAGGAAAAATGAGGAGCTGACATTAATGACAAGAATCCCTCAATCACGTGTACATAGTCCTACTCTTTTTTTTATTCTTTTTTTTTTATTTTAAATATCCACCATTTTGTTTGCAACTCCGCTGCAAAATTCAAAATTCCTACGGGAAATTCAAATCCTCCCATCATCATTATCAGGTTTCACATCAAATATTCCATGCCATTCTCCAGAAATTTCTCAAATAATTCAACAATCTCAATGAATCATTATTCCGTTTAGTGAGTTATTACATTTTTTTTTTCTTCAGGATGCGTCACTAAAAGGCATATTAAGCTGCAAGACATCAGTGAAGTCATTTTTTTTTGAAACCCTATTGAGTACAAAATTTGTGTAAGCATGGATTAGAAAATTACACATGCTGCTAGCAGAACAATGGGGCAACCACCAATTTTAAGTAAATTTCAGAAAAAAAATTAAATGTGAACACTCAAATTCCTTTTTGAAATTCCGCTTGATATCGCTGGTTTGTTTACTTTTCATTCCTCAATTATTTGAATTTAATTATTCCCGCCCCACCGAGCCACTTGCTGAATAACAAATCTTCCCTTTAATTGTTTTATTGGGACATTTTCTTTAATACCAATTGGTAATCTTTTATTAATTCGTAGTAGTTCAATGATGTCTTGAAATTTTGTAGGTTTGCTTTCAAACTCCAATATTTCACAGATTCATTGAAGAAAATATTTCAAAGAGATTCACAATTTTTTACAGTATCATAGACAGGTTAGTTTAAAATATTCTTGGCAATTTCATAAACGAAACAAGCCATGAGGTGTAAAACAAATACCCTATTTTGTATCTTTCGACATAGTAAAATTTAAAAAAAAGACCATTTTGTTCTGAATAACCCTGAAATTTATTTTTGTGGCGATGTAAGTTTTGGAGCTCTAAATTTCTGGAAGTTATGAGCTTCAGAATCATTGTTACAGATCTGATTGACTTTTGCATTCAAAGAAATTTAAATCTTGAGTTTCTTTAAATATTAAACTTCTTTTAATGACATGTTTTCAACTTCAAAAAAATTAATAAAAATCTGCGGTTCTGTTTCATAATCTTCCTAACATTTTCTTTTACTATTGTCCCATTATCAGCTTTTTTCAGTCTCATCCAATCAACGTATTTCATTTCAATTCATTTCTCTGAAAAAATTAAAAAAAAATTCGCTGTCTTTTTTTTTCGCCTCAAATTTCAAAAACACAAGTACAAATCAACATATCAACATTTCATAGTGATGTAATGTGTAATATGGTGTATGCCGTAATTACTATTTGTAGAATTTCTTTTTTAGTATTTTAGTGCGTTTAGTTAATTAAAAATTGGAAGGAAGAAATCGAAAATACAAAAAAAGTAAAGCATTGGTATGAGAAAAAAGGCTTGAATGAGTAAAGGTACGAGCCTTTTTCATATTTTATATCAATCAATAAACAAGGGTTAGTTGAGGTTCCCGAGCATCTTATTTGAGCCGCTCGACATTAAATAAAGGTTTTTAAGGCTTTTTTTCATTAAATTTATATTAAAACATTATTGTATTCATATTGTTGAAGATATACTATTTCCATGGGGAGCGGGGCGGAGCGTTGAACAAAGTTGCTTTGGTCTATCCATAATTGACGGTTTGGCTACGTA